AACTCCTGGGCTCAAGCAATCCTTCTGCCTCAGCCTCCTGAGTGGCTGGGACTACAGGCATGTGCCACTATGCCCAGCTAATTTTTTCCATATATTTTTAGTTGGCCAATTAATTTCTTTCTATTTTTTTAGCAGAGACGGGTCTCACTCTTGCTCAGGCTGGTTTCAAATTCCTGACCTTGAGTGATGCTCCTGCCTTGGCCTCCCAGAGTGCTAGGATTACAGGTGTGAACCACCTTGCCTGGCCTAGAAATATTTCTTGAATGAATAAGTAGCAGAAAACAACTTGATTCTTTCTCTCCACCTTCCTTTAAACTTTCCCTGACAAATGTTTTCTTCCCTACTCCTAGATAGAAACTCAGGGAGGTTGCTCAGATGTTTCAGCCAATCTCTGCAGATAGAAAGTCCCCATCCGGCCTCTTCGGAGTGTTCCAGGGTCTAGTCCAGTCTAATACTTACAGGACTTCAAACATCATTGACGTTGCAGCCCCTACTCTGGGCTGGAGTGGAAGGTCATGGTCAATTTCTTCTCTCTGTCCTCATCTTCCTTGTCCTCTAGCCTCAAGATGCTACCTCTGACTCAGAGCGCTGTGGGCCCGACCCCCTGTGGGCCGACCCGAGGGGGAGGCGTCTCTTGTTTCCTGTGGCTGCTGCAACAAATGACCACAAACTCTGTGGCTCAGACATGCGGGGTTATTCTTACTGTCCTGGAGGCTCGGCCACTCCTTCTGGAGAAGAACCTGTTCCTTCTCCTCTTCCAGCCTCCAGCCTGCATTCCTCCAGCTTGGAAACTGGCGGTGCAGCATATGGCTTTTGTCATTACAGCTTCTCCTCTTTGTCCGATCCCCCTCTGCCTCTCTCTTATGAGGACCTTCGAGTCCAGGATAATCTCCTGTCTTCAGATCCTTAACTTACTCGCACCTGTAGAGCCCCTTTGCCAACGGGTCCCAGGGGTCAGGACCTGGGTGTCTTTGGGCCCATTATTCAGCCGACCACAAGGGTTTGGGTTTTAAGCACCGAGGCAGTGGCTGGTCTGGCCTGGCTTGGCCAGTGCCAACACTGAGTTTTCCTCCTGTGGGCAGTTTTTTTTTTTTTGAGACAGAGTCTCGCTTTGTTGCCCAGGCTAGAGTGAGTGCCATGGCATCAGCCTAGCTCACAGCATCCTCAAACCCCTGGGCTCAAGCGATCCTCCTGCTTCAGCCTCCCACGTAGCTGGGACTACAGGCATGTGCCACCATGCCCGGCTAATTTTTTTAATATATATTAGGTGGCCAATTAATTTCTTTCTATTTATAGTAGAGACGGGTTTCGCTCTTGCTCAGGCTGGTTTCAAACTCCTGACCTCGAGCAATCTGCCCGCCTTGGCCTCCCAGAGTGCTAGGATTACAGGCGTGAGCCACCGCGCCCGTCCCTGTGGGCAGTTTTTGAGGGGCCTCCCACGGGAACCCCAGCTGCTGCTCCCAGTGCTCTCCCAGCCACCAGCTCCTGACATCCCTCGTTCTAAACCCCAGCACCTACCTCAGTTGGGGTGCTGCACCCCTCAAGGGTCCTCTTGAGACCAGCCTTTCTAAAATTAATAAAGGGCCACCAGGTGGAAACTGTGGCAGGGGAAATATATATACACCCAGCCATTGTTCCCTGGCTTGCTGTCCTGTAATCACTCACTACTCAGGAGTCACATAGCTGATGGCCATAAAGATTCTCAGCTTTGTTCGTTATTCCCACAGATAACATCGCCCTTGTGAAACCTAAGGCTAGTTTTTGAGAAATCTTCCAGCCCTGCATTCCGGTGGAACGGCTGACCAACCCAGACCAGCGGCCCGTACCAGGGAACTGACTCAGCTGGTCTTGAGCCCCCACCCAAGAATGGACTCAGCAAGAAGATGGTTTCTACACTCCTGCGGTTCCACCCCAGACCCAGCCGATTAGCAGACCCAGTTGCCTAGCCCTTTGCCCGCCAAACTATCTTTAAAAACCTTAAAAATTCTTGGGGAGATGGATTTGAGAACGTCCTCTCATCTCCTTGCAGGGCGCCTGTGATGTCAGACCTTTCTCTGCTGTGAGCCTAGTGTATTGGCTTCCTCTTGCAGAGGACGATGAGCTTGGTACAGCTGTAACGCTCTCAGTTACATCCTATTCGTGGCGTCCTATTTGGCCTCTGGATGTTGGGACATATGTACCCTCCAACGGGGATTTGCTGCTCCCTCCTCACCTGGCTGTCTGGGCTCAGTGTGCAGGGGGCACCCTGAGGCCTGAGGCCACGCGGCACAGGAGCTATGGGCAGGGACCTGGCCTCAGGCCCGCCTGGGTTTGCACCCCACGCTGCGTCTTACTAGCTGTCGGCCTTTGGGAGAGTTGCCTACCTCTTGTACAGAACGAGGCCCAGAATAAACACCTCCAGAGAACACAAAGTAAAGCAGCCGTCTGGCCCACAAGCCCCGGGGGACACGTGCTCAGTTTCACAAGGGGAAGCCACCCCACCTTTGGTTTTGAGGCACCTCAGATAGGGGGTGGGGGTGGATCTCAACCCCCTGTTGCATCATTCTGAGGCTCTGAAACCTCAGCTGAAACTGAGCCGGAAAGAGGAGTCTTATAACATCCTGTCGCCCTTGGCTTCCTCCGAGGCGGAAAGGGGGTGCTGTGCGCACAGCGGCGCGTGGGAAGGGGCCTCCAGAGTGGGCGGGGCACCTGTTGTCTTCTCTTCTTTCCCCTCAACTTTCTGAAAAAATAAACCTCTTATTTTGAGGTAACTGAATTCACATACATCTGCTCAACTTTCTAGAAGAAATTCAAACCTTCTGAAAAGCCACAAGAACAGTACAGTGCCACCCGCTGGCCCTTCTCCTGTGTTCGGCAGTTCCCATTCAATTGAGTCCATAGTTTTTAATCTATTTTCCATATGTCCATAGACATGGGGATAAATATAGATGCTCTGTCTACTAGGCAATATATTTCTAAAAATTCACACACATACACACACACACACACACACAGACATGACATTTCCCCCCAACCCTGGCTGCTGAGACGGCTGAGCAGTGGCACCGAGCAGTAGCAAGCTCACCTAGCACCTGAGCACCCTCAGTTCCCAAATCCCACCCTCCACTAAAATCCCTTTGGCCATCTCCTTGCAGAGAGGGTTGATTGCAGGTGCGGTCATTCTTGTCATATGCAACTACCACAGAGCTGAGAAGCCAGGGGGAAAAGAACCCAGGCACTGGGAAAAGAACCCAGAGGCATTGCTCCAAGACCGTAGTTCCCGTGTGGCTGCTCCAAGTCCCCCTTGTAACCTGAGACCAGTTTGACTGATGGCTTTTGAGATAACTTGCTGCAATTCTAGGACTCATTTTGCCCACCACCAACCACTCACCACCCAGAGTGAGCCACTTCCCACACCCTCCCTCGTGCTCATGAACTTCTTCAAAGAGCAGTACCTAATGTTTCTCCTGTTTAATAAAATCTCTAACCTTCTCTTTGTTCATCCTTCAGGTGTACTAAAGACCACCTGGTCTGCACAGATGGCCCCAATTGCAAGTCTTTCTTCCCAAATGAAACATTACATGTAGAGATTCATCTCTACATTTTTATTCTGACTTTGACTCAGGGCTGGGCAGAGATGTTCGGGATGAGCCTTGAGCCTGTTGTTAGCCAGGCAGTCAGGACACTTCAGGGAATGATGGGGACAGGTCAAAAGGACAAGGAGCCAGCTTGAAGGGGGTCCCACTGGCCAAATCAGGGACCATTTGAGCATCAAAATAAGTAACAATAGTAATGGATTATAATCCATTGACTAAAACAGGAAATCATGAGTCTGTATTGATTTAAATGAAGGAAGAGAAACGTCTTTGCAGAATAAAAATATCTGACTTCATACCGATCCATCCCGTTCTCATCTAACACCACAGGGCTCTTCCTCCCTTTCCTTCCACGTTCCTGTCTCCTTTCTTTCCTGGAAGAACCCTGGTTCCAAACAACATGGCTATTTTTATCTGTTTATGCTCTATCCTGCATAATAGTTTCAGAATTGCTACACTGGTACCCACTGCTCATAACAAGCTCACTACGGAAAGGTCGAGATTTATTTGCAATTCTTTTTTTTTTTGACACAGAGTCTCGCTTTGTTGCCCAGGCTAGAGTGAATGCCATGGGGTCAGCCTAGCTCACAGCAACCTCAAACTCCTGGGCTCAAGCAATCCTCCTGCCTCAGCCTCCCGAGTAGCTGGGACTATAGGCATGCGCCACCATGCTAGGATAATTTTTTCTATACATATTAGTTGGCCAATTAATTTCTTTCTATTTATAGTAGAGACGGGGTCTTGCTCTTGCTCAGGCTGGTTTTGAACCCCTGACCTTGAGCAATCCGCCCGCCTCGGCCTCTCAGAGTGTTAGGATTACAGGCGTGAGCCACCACACCCGGCCTTGCAATTCTTTTTGACCTTAGGATATACATCCCACCAAACGTACCGAGTGTTGAAACCAGAAGTACGTGTTGATCTGGGCTTTGATGGATGACTAGCAGTATTCAGGAGCAGAAGGAGGAAAGAGCACTGGGCAGGGGGACAGCATGTGCCACGCGCTGGGGATGAAGCCTGCTGTGGCTGCAGTGCAGGGGAATGACAAAGGGTGGGTGTAGGAGCTGCGTGTGTGTGTGCTCCCATGCGTGCGTGTGTGTGTGGGGGTAGGGTGGGGAGTGTATCTTGGAAGGGCCTTGAATGCCAGGCAAGGAGCTTGGGATTGATGTAGCAGGCACTGGGGACTCACAAGAGGCACTGGGGTTTAGGAAATGTGGAGGACAAGCTGGCAAATTGCTGAGGATGGCCGCCACCTGGGGCCATGAGACACAGTGCCTGGGCCAGCAGGACGGCTTTGAGGCAATTCTCCTCCAGACACCTCAGTTTTACCATCTGTAATGCGGGCACAAGGAGTCCCACTCCCAGGGCTGCAGGGAGACTCCCCAAGGGCTGTACCTGGCCTCTGGGGTCTGAGGTAGGGAGGGAGCTGGCGCACACGCCCTCCCTGCTCTGTGACATGTCTCTGCTTCCTGTTTCTCCCCCATCAGGGCAGTCTCAGTCTCAGCTTCAAAAGAACAAACAGGCACTCAAAGCAAAGGAAGACGGTCCTCCACTGCAGAGGAAGCAGGAAGCTGCCGGCCTGCTCCGAGCCCAGCTGCCGGAGCCTGGGGTCAGCAGGATGGAGTCGGTGGCCCTGTACAGCTTCCAGGCCACAGAGAGCGATGAGCTCGCCTTCAACAAGGGGGACACACTCAAGGTAAGGAGCTGGAGCCGGGCTGAGCTGGCCCTGCGTGGCGTGGGGGTGGATTTAAGAACTGGGCCAGGACAGCCCCAGACAGAATCTGGTCCCTGCAGGACAGGCCCAGCGCCTCCAGTTAGTGGCTGCGTGACTCTGGACAAGCCACCTGCTCCCTCTGAGGCTTAGTTTCCCCATCTAGGAATTGGGGAGGTAATTAATGCTCCCTCCTTAGGGGCTGTTGTGAGGCTTCAAGGAGACATCACCACAGCATCAGCACCCCGTTTTCCAGCAGAAAATGTGAAAGGACAATTGTTCAGACAGTGAGAGAATGTGAGTGACAGAGAGAGAGCGATAGACAGTGGGGTGGGAAGTGGGGAGAGAGAGAGAGGAGGTCTTAGTAAAGAAATAGGTACACAGGATAACCTGGTGGGGCTAATAGCTATCATGTAAGGACATCAAGGATGAACTTCCCAATATTATGGAGAAAAGGGAAAATAGAGTCATACCAGAATTCATTTCTCCTTGTCTGGGCCACTTTTGATGGACATTGCAGTCTTCCAAGATGGTCCAGGAAGATGGGTCTATAGAATCTCTCTCTGGAGACGTCCTTGCTTTAAAATTTGCATGTGGCCAGGCACAGTGGCTCATGCCTATAATCCTAGCACTCTGGGAGGCTGAGACAGGAGGATTGTTTAAGGCCAGGAGTTTAAGATCAGCCTGATCAAGACTGAAACCTCGTCTCCACAAAAATAGAAAAATTAGCCGGGCATGGTGGCGCATGCCTGTAGTCCCAGCTACTCAGGAGGCTGAGGCAGGAGGATTGCTTCAGCCCAGGAGTTTAAGGTTGTGGTGAGCTATTATGATGCCGCTGCACTCTAGCCTGGGTCACACACACACACACACACACACACACACACACACACACACACAGTTTGCATGTGAAAGCAGAGCCCAGGGGCCAGGTGCAGGATTCAGGGGGTGGCCATGCCATGACTTGGGCACTGGAGCAGCTACTTACTTACCTAAGGAAGTCACTGCCTCTCCCTGGGCCTCAGTCTCCCCACTGGAGCAATGAGTATTAGATTGGATATCCCTCTACTCTAAGCCCCAGGCCCTGCTCTTGCCCCAAGCTTCAAGCACAAGAAGACACAGGACTTCCGTCTGCCACCACCCTACTATGGCCGGGTCCCAAACTCAGCAATGCGTACCAATGTCCCATTTAAGTTGCTGTGGGGGTGGGGGGGATATTAGCACCCCTGTTTCACAGGTGACTAAACTGAGGCAGAGGTAGGTGACGTGACCTGGTTGATATGGGCCCAAATTCGAACCTACACCCCCTTGACTGTGGAGCCTGTGTTTGGTCCCCACAGGGACTGGCCAGGCTGGGCTGGGGCCGGGCTGGGGCTGGAGAGTGTGGCCAGAGTTTGTCTGAGTCACAGAGACGGAGGGCTGGGGGGTGGCACAGAAGATTAGATTGCCTCTGAAAACGCTACTTTTGTAGAGCTTTTGGTGACATAAAAACGTTTATGACGCAACATTAAGTGGCAAAAAGCAGAGTGCGAACGTCTGCACGCAGGGCCAGGTCTGCACAGACGATTGATAGGTACTAACTTCACGGGAAAACCGACATCCACAGCCAGATTTGTGCATAGAGCAAAGATTAAAAAGAAAAGTCTTGCTCAGCCTGCAGCTGTTGACCCCTGGGGTGGCGGGGTAGTGGGTGGCCCTGAGCGATTTGCGTTTTCTTCACTCTTTCCGTCCTGGGTGCTCTGCTAATAAGCAGGGGTCCGTCCCTGCAGGGCCAGGTGTGATGCCTTCACTCTCAGGGATGTGCAAGTACAAGGTCACGTCCACGTGTGTTGAAGACTTTGATGGACATTGTATGCATTAACTTTTAGATAGACTTTATTTCTCAGAACAGTCGTGAGGTTTACAGAGAAACTGGAAGATAACACAGGGGATTCCCACGTCTGGGCGCCCCGCTTCCCCTGTGGCTGCCATCTACTCACCTGGCACATTTCTTACAGTTATTGAGTGATACCGATATGTTATTAGTAACTAACACCCATATTCAGATTTTTGCATTCATTTTGATTTTAATGTGTTGCATTAAAATATTATTTAATCTTGATACCTTTTTGGGGTGTTCCCTTCAGTGTTACACCAAGGTCACCCTCTCCCTCACTCTAGTCCGGACCACTTTCTATAACTGGCAAAAATGTCATGTGTCCCCTGTCATCTCCCTGCAGGCCGGCCCCTCCCAGCAGGGCTCGGAGGGGCTGAGCTCAGGGCTCCCGGCTCCGTGCAGTGTCCCCTGTGGGCCAGGCCCGCTGCAGAGGAGCCGCGGCAAAGCACCTTCTTCACATCTGAATTTTGGTCTTGGATGAATGCTCAGAGGCTCATGGTCTCACTCTGGTTTTTTTAACTTTTTTTTTAGATTTAGAGACGGGGTCTGACTGTGCTCAGGCTGTGTTCAGGCTGGTGTTGAACCGCTGAACCGCCTCAGCCTCCCAGAAAGCTAGGACGACAGGCATGAGCCACCGCGCCGGGCCCATGGTCTCACTCTGGACACATGGCCCCAAACGTCCCTTCCCTGGGACAAGCCTCCCTCCCCGACGGCCGAGCATTTCTGGGTGTGTGGTACCCCACTGCTGCCAGCTGGAGAGGAGTGGGGGTGGCAGCTTCACCCTTGTTCTCCACAGACGGCCTGGACCCCAGACCCAGACTCAGGGTGTCCACAGCCTCCTGGACGTGTCCACGAGCAAGGCCGACAGTGCAGACCCCGCGCAGCCCACCCTGGGCCCTGGCCTGCCTCCCGCAGCCTGTCACTGCATCTTGTCCATAACTCCGGCAAAAGCCACCCACTCTGCCCCTCTCCGTGACTCCCGGCACCCCTCCTCCAGTCTGGGTGTCCTTGCCTCTCCCGGGCTGGTGCAGGAGCTCGCCGGTGCCTCCTGCTGTCCTCTGGCCCCCGGCTGGTCCCCACACAGCGGCCCTCACTCAGAGCCGCGTGAAGGTGGTGCTAGTTTGCGTGATTTAACCTTCAGTAGCAGGCAAAACTATGCCCTCCGGCTCCTTCTTTCTTTCTGTTTTCTTTTGGAGACAGGACCCTCTCTGCTGCCCAGGCTGGGATGCAGTCAAGCGACCCTCCCACCTCAGCCTCCGACTAGCTGGGACTGCAGGCGTGCGCCACCATACCTGGCTAACCTTTTCATTTTTTTTTGTAGAGAGGAGGTCTCACTATATTCCCCAGGCTGTTCTTGTACTCCTGGCCTCGGCCTCCCGCAGTGCTAGGGCTCCAGGCGTGAGCCGCTGGCAGGAGCCGCCTGGCCCCTTCTGTGTCAGGGACAGAGCTTGCTCCCGCCTAGTGCTGCCCTCTGCCTTGGACGCCGTTCCCCGCGTCTTCTCACCATAGGTTCCGTCTTGTGACTGGGTCTCAGCCCCACGGCACCTCCTCAGAGAGGCCTTCCTGACCACTCTGTCTGCCCCTGTTGACGGTGTCCCTGCCGCCGCCAGCCGTCTTCATCTGTGCCGTTCTGACGCATGTTGTCAGAGCACTCCCGCTGCATTCAGCTGTCCCGTCGGCCGGTTCCTTCCCTGTTTACGGTCCGTCTCTGCCCACTGGCGAGCGAGCTCCTTGTTCCACGCTGTGTCGCCAGGCCCAGCCAGCGCCCGCACACAGCGGGTGCTTAGCAAACAGCTGCCAAGTGATGCCTGGGACCGGGGACGGTGAGGGGCGGCCGCCTGGCTGGAGGGCACTGCAGGGGGACGGCTGCCGGGCCGGCCATGGTGTCTCACCTCCAGAGGTGAAATTTCCCCTGAGAGGAGCTGGTCTCTGTCCCTCGTGGGCATCCCCGTGTCTCAGAGGGCCTGGGGCTTTTGAACAACGTTAACAGTAAGAATGGAGCTGTGGGACCAGTGAGCGCCTTCCTGGGTCCTCTGGGCGGAGATGAAAGAGAGACAAGACAAAGCGGGGAGCAGACACGATTCGTCGTGTTCCCGTGTCCACCGGGAACACAGCCCACAAGGCACTGCCGAGTTCCGTGTAGGCCACAGGGCGCCCATCCACCGGATGAGGACACTGGTGCCAAGGCCACCAAGAGCGTCAGAGCAGAGTGGCCAAGAGCCCCAGGCCCCAGGGCTTCTTCCTTGAAGCCCGGCCATGGCAGCCTACGGCCCGGTTTTCCTCATTAGGTTGGGGCAGTTGTTTTGTTTTGTTCTGTGTTGAGTGAAAGTTTTCCCGAGTCAGCCACCGGCTTCCGTCTGTCCCCGGGGCCGCTGACCTTGCCCTGCGGGGGCAGGAAGGAAGGCTCAGCCTGGCCTGGCGGACAGACAGGGCCCGGCCCCCCAGGAAGCAACCCCAGCTGCTCTTGGCCAAGCCCTACTGCCTGAGCTGCGGCCCTTGTGTCGGCCTGCCCTGGGGCCTGTCTTCTTTCCCTTCTTTTCTCTCCACAAATATCCCCATGGGATGGAGCCGGCATTAGAGTCTGTCCCGGACTCGCAGGAGAGATATCCCTCAGGCTTGGGTCCAGAGACAAAGGAGGAGGTGGATTGGGGGTGAACACTGGTAAGCTGGGGCCCACTAGACCAACTGAGCCAAAGACCCCAGGCTCAGAGTCCTGGCTGATCTTGGGTCTGCCTCTCCCCTGCTGTGTGGCCTTGGCTGAGTCACTTCCCCTCTCTGGGCCTCGGTTTTGTCATCTGTAAAATAACACTTGGTGATGTCCACCGTGGAGGGTGGCATGAGAATCGGGGTGATGCGGGCAAGTGTGCCCAGGGAATGGAGGAAAGAGCCTCCTGCGCGCCAGCCCCAGGCCCTGCCCGGCCCCGCCTGGGTCGCTTTACCGGCCACCTGCAGCGGCTCCCGCCTGCTCTGGCTGTTTCAGTTCCTCTTGCCCCACCTGGGGGCGACGGGGGCCTCAGGGGCGTGGAAGAGGAGCCCACAGGACCACAGAGTAGGCAGGGCCTGAGAACCAGCCTGTCTTACCCGCGCCCCAGTGCCTGGGATGCCCCCACTGAATCGTCACCCCTGAGCTGGGACCGAAGGGCTGTTTAAATGCAAGAGACCACAGTCACTGGGCGCAGGCTGGGGCTCCCTCACCTTCCTGGGGACGTCCGACCTTCACCCCAAGGCTCAGCACATGGTGTGCTCAGGGGTCACAGCTCAGAACTGAGGTCCCAGTTCTGCTCCTCAAGGCCGTCTGCCCTGCTGGGCGTCTGGGTGGCGGAGCCTGAGGGTCCAGCTCCAGCCACCCCAAACCCTCGATGTAGGAGGGGCTGTCCTGGGGCCAGCGGGCAGGCCTGCGGGCTCAGGCAGCTGGTTCTGACTCAGCCCTGTGCCCGTGGCAGGACCCTGTCCCAGGGCCCCCAGCCCTCTGTGAATGGGTACAGGGCTGGTGTGGGTGAAGTCCACCTGGGGCATGGCGTGCGGCGGGATCTCAGCAGGTGACAGCTGTCCCTTCTCAATGACTGAATGGCTTGTGTCCCCTGCCCACAGATCCTGAACATGGAAGATGACCAGAACTGGTATAAGGCCGAACTCCGGGGTGCTGAGGGGTTTATCCCCAAGAACTACATCCGCGTCAAGCCCCACCCGTGAGTGGCCGCCATCCCCCTCCCAGGCCCCGTGGCTGTATGTCCCCACCTAGCCTGGGGCATGGCATCTCTCTTGCACACGGGGCTCCCTCACTCCTGGGCCCGTCCATCTGTCTGGGGCCTCAGTCTGCACAGTAGCCACCTCCCTGAGCAGAGACGGGGACTGAGACGTGAGGACTTGCCCAAGTGGTGGCAGAGCCGGGGCAAGCCCAGGCCTAACGCTGAGAACCTGGCTGCCGCAGGGTGTCCAGCAGGGCCCTGGGAGAGGACGGAGCCCGGGCTCTCAGCTGGCTGGGCCACGGGCTGCTCTGTGGCCTCAGGCAAGTCCCTGCTCTCTCTGTTCCTCAGTTTCCCAAGGAAACTGTAACCCAAGGAGGGCTGAGCTCTAATCTGTCCAGACCATCAGGTCTGTGTAGGTTCTAGAGCTCTCTCTGAGAGGCTGACTCAGCCCTGAGTGGGGCCGGGAGTGGGGGTGGCGACGGAGGGGCGGAAGGTTGGGCAGAAAACCAACTCTGCGGGCCCTGCATTTGCGACATGGGAGCACACTGGGTGTTGGCAGAGTCTGTGACCAGGGTGGAGTGAGAGTTGTGTCTGGGCCCAGGTATCCTGGGGACCTGCTGGCCCCGGGAAGTCCCTGGCTGTGCTCTCAGCAGATGGCATCCAACATTGCTGCCCTGAGACTGGCTGGGGCAGAGTCCAGGTCACCAAGTAACATGCAAGGAACCAGCTGGGTATGCTTTAAATGACAGCTGAGGCAGCCCCAAGATACAGCCACTTCCTCTTTCACCAAACACAGCTCCAGGGGTCCTGGCCCGGGGGATGCTGGACACACAGAGGGGTCAGAGCAGCCATGTTCTGACGGGGAGAGAGGACATAAAGAAAATACTAGGCTGGGCGCAGCGGCTCACGCCTGTAATCCTAGCACTCTGGGAGGCCAAGGCGGGCAGATTGCTCAAGGTCAGGAGTTCGAAACCAGCCTGAGCAAGAGCGAGACCCCGTCTCTACTATAAATAGAAAGAAATTAATTGGCCAACTAATGTATATAGAAAAAATGAGCCGGGCATGGTGGCGCATGCCTGTAGTCCCAGCTACTCGGGAGGCTGAGGCAGGAGGATCGCTTGAGCCCAGGAGTTTGAGGTTGCTGTGAGCTAGGCTGACGCCACGGCACTCACTCTAGCCTGGGCAACAAAGTGAGACTCTGTCTCAAAAAAGAAAAGAAAAGAAAAGAAAAGAAAAGAAAAGAAAAGAAAAGAAAAGAAAAGAAAAGAAAAGAAAAGAAAAGAAAAGAAAAGACTAAATGGGAGGGAAGGCAGTAGTAGGCATTCAGGTGATTAACCAGGGAGAACTTCTCAGAAGTGGCAATGAGTGAGGTTTTGAAGGACGTATAGGAGTTGGCTAAGTAGAAAAGAGAAAGGCATTCCTGGGAGAGAGTCAAGATGTGCAAAGAGGAAGCAATGAGAGAAAATTGGTGGCATGTGGGACTGGAAGGATGGCCTCAAATGCCAGGGCCAGGGTAGTGGGGAGCCATGGGGTGTTAGGGTACGTGGAGGACTCAGTCAGATATGGAGACTGGTGGCAGGGTCAGGCAGGCTGGCGGGGCAGACTGGGACTGTGATGGGTGTGGCTGTGGGGTGGAAGGGAAAGGAGGTACAGGGAGAGGCTGGGGCCTTTATCTGCCTTTGAGTATTTCCAAAGCTGCCACCACCTCTGGCTTCCTGTGCTGGGCATGGTCTTCAGGTGGAGGGAATGGTGTGGCGACGGCTGGAAGGCTGGAAGGCCCAGAGCTGCCAGCAGCCCTGAGCTGGGGCTCCATTCGCTCCGGTGGGGAGAAAAGAGGCCCAAAGAGGCTGTGCTGGGCCCGGCCTGCGGGGCAACACAGAGGCTGGGGCGGGACTCTAGCGGCTGGGAGCCGTGGAGTGTTTCGGCCTCTGACGCCCCTGGGTCAGCTCCGGCCACTTGTACCTGGGACAGAGCAGGGAGGGGGCCAGACCCCTGACCAGCCTGCCCGGGGCGGGGTCCCGGTGTGCTCCTGGTTAACCTCAGCACCTGCTCTGGTCCCAAAATAGCCGCGGGGAAACTCCGGCTCCACACCTGACTCAGCGCAAAGCCCGTGGTGCGTGGGTGGGAGGGCTGGGGCTCCAGAAGGCCTCGTGCCTACGCCAGCCGTCTCGTTTCCGAGCACCCGCTCTCACCCTGCCCGCCCAGGAGCCCCGGGGCAGGGGCGGCACAGTCCCAGTACCTCCAGAGTCAGCCCCATCAGGCAGTGGCCACAGTGGACCCACTTTTCTCGGCCTGTGAGGGTAAGGGAGGGCTTCCTAGAGGAAGGGCACAGCCCAGTGGGCCTGCAAGTTAGAGTAGGAGTCTGCCAGGGAGGGCAGGGGACAGCCGAGCAGAGGGACGTGTGGGAGGAGCAGCAAACACCTGCACACAGCCGCTCCTGCATCCTCCTAAGGGCCCTATGAGGTGAGAATTAGCGTCACCAGCTTTCAGATAAGGCCACAGAGGCACAGAGAAGTTGAGCGACTCGTTCAGGTCACACAGCTGGCCAGTGGTGGAGCGAGACTGCAGCTGCGTGGTGCGAGCCCTGGGCTGGGCTGGGCTGGCTGGAGGGGCAGGAAAGCCTGCAAGGACGGTGGGGCTGGGGCTAGGGGAGAGTCCAGGCCTTGGAGTCGCTCTGCAATTTCGGGGGCTTAGGGGGGCAAGGGGCGGGGCTTCCCTGCCCCTTTCTGGGCTTCAGTTTCCACATCAGTAAAATGGGGACGATGTAATGTGAGGTGGCCACAAATGGAGTGACGCTGGTGTCGGGCAAGAGCTGGCCCTGGGGGCATTAGGAGGTGCTTTCTTCTAGCCTTTAGGCCACCCTGGGTGGGGACAGGGATGTGAGGGCCTCCTTGGTGTGTGCAGTTGTGACACTGTGTGAGGGCACCAGCCACCCACACAGACGCCTCTTTGGGGTTTTTGCGGGTTTTTCGGAGACACCTGGCCCTTCAGGAAACTCCCACCCAGGGCCCCACTGGGCGCAGCTCTGGCAGGATGGGGCTGGGGGCTTTCTGGCGGAAGAGCTTGCAGCAGCTCCCCTGCCAGTACCCCCAGTCCTGGGCCCCGCGCTCCTGTCCCACCCGGCCCGTGGTGTCAGCCTCTGGCCTGGAGACTGCCCCGCTGGCTAGGCCGCAGCCCCCAGGTCTCCAGACTCTGAGAGACCCAGGCGCAGCTCCCCAGATGGTCCCCTGAGTCCCCACACTCAGTGGCCACCGTCCCTGTCCCCCCTCACCAAGGTATGGGCTGAGGGTCCCCACCAGCTTGGGTGGCAGCAGTCTAGAATCTCGTGTCTGGTGCATGGCTTGCCCAGAGCAGCCCCCAAGACAGGGATGTGAAGACCAGGGATTTATTTGGATTTCTTTTTTTTTTTTTTTTTTTTTTTTGAGACAGAGTCTCGCTTTGTTGCCCAGGCTAGAGTGAGTGCCATGGCATCAGCCTAGCTCACAGCAACCTCAAACTCCTGGGCTCAAGCGATCCTCCTGCCTCAGCCTCCGAGTAGCTGGGAATACAGGCATGTGCCACCATGCCCGGCTAATTTTTTCTATATATTTCTAGTTGTCCAGATAATTTCTTTCTACTTTTAATAGAGACAGGGTCTCGCTCTTGCTCAGGCTGGTTTCGAACTCCTGACCTCAAACAATCCGCCTGCCTCGGCCTCTCAGAGTGCTAGAATTACAGGGGTGAGCCACCGCGCCCGGCCTACAGGGCCTCTTTTATGAGGGCACTAATCCCATTCATGGGGGCTCCTCATCCTCCCAAAGGCCTCACCCCTGACACTGTCACATCGGAGATTAGGTTTCAGATTAAGATTTTTTTGGGGGACACACACAGTCAGTCCATAGTGATAGCTAAGGGCCAAAGAGACCAGGGCCTGCCTGGAGTCACACAGCAAGAGCAGGACTGAAGGGAAGTTGGATCCCACCTTTCACTCCCAGACCCTGGGGATCTTGCAAAAGTCTACGCATTTACCAGGCACCTTCTGTATACCCAGTTCTGCTTGGTCAGAGGGAAAAGTAACTTGCACCTGTGAAAAGGTCCAGGTGGCCTGAGTCTGCACCTGTGGAAAGAGTATAAGGAGAAATGTTTTCTCACTAGAATGAAGCCTAAGTATTTTTGTCATGTGTTTACATTAATATACTTTTTGACCTTTTTTTTTTAGAGATGGAATCTTGATATGTTTCCCAGCCTGGTCTTGAACTCCTGGGCTCAAGTGATCCTCCTGCCGAAGTGCTGGGATTATAGGCATGAGCCACCGTATGCAGCTATGTATTTCTTTTACTTTTAAGAATCTACCGTCCGGGCGCGGTGGCTCACGCCTGTAATCCTAGCCACCTGGAGGCCGAGGCGGGCGGATTGCTCGAGGCCAGAGTTCAAAAACCAGCCTGAGCAAGAGCAAGACCCTCTCTACTATAATAGAAAATAATTGCCAACTACTAATAATATATAGGAAATTAGCCGGGCAAGGTGGCGCATGCCTGTAGTCCCAGCTACTCGGGAGGCTGACAGGAGATCCTTGACAGGATTTGAGGTTGCTGTGAGCTAGGCGCACGCCATGGCACTCACTCTAGCCTGGGCAACAAAGCGAGACTCTGTCTCAAGAAAAAAAAAGAATCTACCACCCTAGTGCTTTGGGACGCCGAGGCAGGAGGATCATTTCTGGTCAGGAGCTCAAAACTGTGCAACATAGAAAGATCGTGTCTTTACGAAAAAATTAAAAATAACTAGCCAGGCATGGTGGTATGAACCTGTAGTCCCAACTACTCAGGAGGCTGAGGCAGGAGGATCACTAGAGCCCAGGAATTGGAGGTCGCAGTGACCTGTGATCATGTCACTGCACTCCAGCCTGGGCAACAGAGTGAAACCTTATCTAACAAAACAACAAAAAAGAATCTACCATCTAAACCGGAAAAGTTAGACTGAGGTTGGCTGGGTTTTGACTCACTGGAATATGACTTGGTGTTTGCTGGCGTGGTGGGTCAGGCTGGGCTCTGGTGCCCAAACGCTGGGATCCTGTTCCAGCTCCTGCCTGCCTCAGCTGTGTGACCTTGGGCACATCACTTCTCCTTTCCGTGCCTCAGTTTCCCCATCTGTAAAATGAGTGCAATCATATCTCCCACGTCTCGGTACTGCTGTGAGGACCCTGGGCTGAGGGCGTGGTGGCCGAGAGCCCGGCCTCCCCCTGCCCTCACCCGCCCCTCTCTCCACAGGTGGTACTCGGGCAGGATTTCCCGGCAGCTGGCCGAAGAGATTCTGATGAAGCGGAACCACCTGGGAGCCTTCCTGATCCGGGAGAGCGAGAGCTCCCCGGGGGAGTTCTCCATCTCCGTGAAGTGAGCTCTGGCCGCTGTGCTCCATCGATGGGCGGAGCGACTGAGGGGGGAGGCAGCGGTTGGCAAGCACCTGCCGTGAGCCTGGCGGCGGGCTGGCTCAACGGGGAGGGGGCAGCACCGTAAGCAGAGGCCTGGAGGCAGGCGGTGGTCTGGGCACCCCAGGGTGCGGCCCGGAGCGTTGGGGTGTGTTGGGAGAGCAGGCCCGCCAGCTGTGCAGGCCTCAAGCGCTGCAGGGTCCAGACTTCACGCGCAGTTCAGCAGCAGTTCGTTGGGGAGGACGATGTCACTGCTTGATGTGGTGAGAGGCTGGGGGCAGGAGAGTGCTGAGGTGCCCTGGCAGGTGTCCAGGAGGTGCCCAGACAGGCCCCCATACTAGGCTGACGCAGTTGAGAGGGTGGACCCTGGGGCCAGGCCGCCTGGGTTCGAACTCTGCTTCTACCACTTCCTGGCTGTGTGAGCTCGGGCAAGTCACTTAACCTCTCCGTGCCTGTTTCCTCACCTGTAGAGTAAGTTACTGCAAGGAACAAGGGAAATGATGCATGTAAAGCAATTAGAACAGCACCTGGCATTGAGGCAGGGTGGCTGTGATGGGGACACCTGGCTTTGGGGTAGGGTGGCTCCTCAGCCATGGTGCCGCAGCCTCTGGCCAGCACAGACCCCAACCCCAAAGGCCATAACTGGGGTGACTGAGGAGTGGGGGTGGGGTCGGAGTCATCCCCCTGGCTGGATCTGTGCTTCTGCTCCCAGAGCCCAGAAGATCAGGATTGAGACGGATAAATTCAAGGAGTGTTCACTGAGCCATGTGACAGGCTACTTTGGGGCTGGGAAGCAACACTGAAAAACAACAGAGTTGCTGCCCTAAGGGTTGAAGTCTCAGAGAAGGAGACAGTGAAAAGAAAACATAAATACAGACAGAACCCAGGTGGTCAGGGAAGGCCTCTCTGAGGAGGTGGCATCTGAGCAAAGATCTGAACTAGGATGTGGAGGCTGCCCAGGTCCCGGGAACAACGACCTGGGAGGAGAGGCTTCCAGGTAGAGGGGGCAATAAAAGCTAAGGTCCTGGGGTAGGAGTGCACTGGGGGCACGTAGGAATCCAGAGGTGGCAGCGTGTCTGGAGCAGAGTGGGCAGGGGGCGGAGGTGGAGGTGACAGTCACGTGCAGTGACCACACAGGGCCCGAAAAGGAGGTTGGGATTTTTCTCTTGGAGCAATAAGGAGCCATGGAGGGTCTTGGGCAGGGGAGAGGTATGATCGGATTCCATGTTTTAGCAGATCCCTCTGGCTGCTGTGAGGAGGAAGGACCGTTGGGGTGACAGTAGCAGCAGGGAGGCCAGCGGGGAGCCAGGTGGGAGGTGAGGGATGACGGAAGGGGACACCCCCAGAGAAGGGCAGCGTGGCCTCTGGGAGGCGGTAGCCAGTCAGGGTGTTCCGTGCGTGTGTGGGGTCCATTTCCCGGAACTGAGCTGATTCCCAGCTGGCGGCTCCGTGACTTTGTAAAGGTGAGCGAACACACACAGGACCACTTGGGTGGTTAGCACCGGCTGGGCGGGAGACTCAGTGTGACGGGTCCCAAGACGCAGAGGATGAAAGACTTGGAGAGGGACTGTCCACGTCGGCCCTGTGCAGCTCCAGACAGGTGGGGCCGCGGTGGCCCACGTGCAGGCTCCTGCTGCTGAGAAATGTCCCCACTTGATGCCTTGCAGGCTCTGCCAGGGCCCTGTCCCTTATGTGTCGTCAGCCGGTCCATCTCTGAAATGGGCTCTTCCCGCCCGGGGTCAGCACATCCCCTGCTGGCCCTGCCAGGTGGCATCTCCCCTCTGGGCCCACAGGGGCAGGACCACTGTGGACAGAAAGGCTGCTCCGGGGGCAGATCTAGCAACTCCAGCACTCACCGAGTCCCCCAAGCTGTGTCGCTGGTCAGCTTTGTTCACTTCCCTATTCCCTGAGAGCAGGCTGGTTACCCCGAGGGGCAGGAAGGGCTCTTGCCCTCTCTGAGCCTCTACTGGCCCATCTTAATGGGGGCACCTTGATGTTTGTAGGGGGGACGGGAGGGATGCTGTGAGTCCCTGAGCCTGACTGTCCACCCCCCACCCCCCATGGTGGGCACCTAGAGCCTGCAGTCCCCGCTGGGTCACCCCCACCCCCAGCCAGGTGCCCTTCCCACCAGCTCCCGCAACCCCTGGGAGCTGACCAAGAGAGAAGATGGGCGGTACTAAGGAACAGGTTTTGTCCTTTTCTTTCTTCCTTTTTTTTTTAGACAGGGTCTCTCTCTGTTATCCAGACCCAAGTGCAGTGGGTCTGGGTAACGTAGCTCACTGAGGCTTTGAACTCCTGGGCTCAAGTGATCCTCTGGCCTCAGCCTCCCGAGTAGCTCAGTCTACAAGTGTGCGCCACATGCCCGGCTAATGTTTCTTTTTTGTACAGATGAGGTCTTCCTATGTTGCCCTGGCTGGTCTGAAACTCCTTGCCCCAAGCAACCGATCCTCCTACCTTGGCCTCCCAAAGTGCTGGGATTGCAGATGGGAGCCACCGTGACCGGCCTTGGGAGCAGTTCTCGAGCAGGCAAGCCACCAGCACCTCCTGGGCAGGGATCTGAGAGCACCTCTCAGAGAAACCCTGGCGCACCCCCACCGCATCCTGGCCAAAGGGCCCAAGGTCAGAACCGGCCAGAGCTTCCTGGGCTCTGCCAGCTGTTTCACGTGAACCACCAGGTGGCGCCCTTGACCCTTGGTTCTGCCACGCTGGGCCAGGATTCCTGGTCCTGCTCCCTGTTGGTCCCGCATCTCTCATGGGGCCTCGCTATGGTCCTTGGATGACCACTGAGCAGGGGTCCTGAGACTCAGATGGGGCATGTGGCTAAGAACGTGGGATTTTGAGAAAGAGTCTCAGCTCTGACACCTACCAGCTGTATAATCCTGGGCAAATTACCCTCTGAGCCTCAGTTTCCTCATCTATAATATGAACATCGATGTAAAGTGCTCAGTGTGAAGACTAGCACATAGTAAGTGCCAGTTGTAGTAATTACCGTTATATGAACCCCCCAAGGACCACACAATGTGCTGGCGCGGGTTTAGGGAGCCCTCTGGCCTGGAAGGCTGCTCCCTGTCTCCCGCCCGTGCATGCAGGGTGCTCAGAAGACAGGCAGCTGCTCAGGCTTGACCTGGCTTTCCCTGGGCCTGCTGCGTAACCCCGGGCAGGTGCTGGCCCTCTCTGGACTGTCTGGTCCTCATTTATGATGTGGAGGCAAAGAACCCAGCTGCTCTGAAGGCTTGTGACCCAGCGGCCATCTAAGAAAGTGACAGCTTGGCAGATTCGTGTGTAAGAGCCCTTCTGGGCCTGGCATAGTGGCTTGTGCCTGCGATCCTAGCACTCTGGGAGGCCAAGGCGGGAGGGTCGCTCAAGGTCAGGAGTTCAAGACCAGCCTGAGCAAGAGTGAGACCCTGTCTCTACTAAAAATAGAAAAATTAACCGGGCATGGTGGTGCATGCCTGTAGTTCCAGCTACTCCGGAGGCTGAGGCAAGAGGCTCTCTTGAGCCCAGGAGTCTGAGGTTGCTGTGAGCTGGACTGACACGAGACTCTAGCCCAGGCAATAGAGCGAGACTCTGCCTAAATAAAAAAAAGCTCTTCTGCCCTTACTGATGTGGCACGTGAGCACTCTGACCCACTACGCGTGGCAGCCCCTGCACACTCATGCCAAGCCCCATAAAGCTGTCAGAGGTGGAGTTTATGGGCCTCCTGCTGCCTCACAGAGCGACAGTGGCCACAGCCAGCTGCCCTTTACGAGTTTACAAAGGTCTGTCCCCTCCACCTCCAGAAAGCCTGTCTGAGCTGTTGGCTGGGGGGCCAGAGGCCAAGGCTGGCATGCAATGCTCGGGCTCCTAGCTTTGCCCTACCCTCCCGTCCAGAGTACAGTGGACTCTTCTGCTACAAATGACCTTGGGCCCAAGGGAAGTGTTTTGCTTCCTTTCCAGCCAGAGATTCCCTGGAGACAATGAACATGTGTTTGCTCTGCCCATCTGGTCACTGACCACCTACTGTGTGCCAGGCTCTGTCCCAGGTGCTGGGGATTCAGCCACCAACAATATAGGACAAAGCTGCCTTTCCTTTAGGTATTCACATTCTACTGGGTGACGGACAATAAGCAATTAGTAAATTATATAGAATCTGGGCTATGATCAAGGTTTTAGAGAAAATAAAGCATGGGGGGTGCAGCAAAGAGGGGGGTAAGTGTGGAAACTCGCGTGATCCCCAGAGTGGAAACTCATGTGATCCCCAGAATCCCATTTGCAGGTAGGTGAACTGAAGCCCAGAGAGGCGCAGTAACTTGCCCAAGGTCACACAGCAAGGAACAGCAGAGCTGGTGCCCACTGGCCTTCTGCGCCCTGATAGGCCTGGCCACCTCCTACCCACCTTCCCAGACCCCCGAACCCTCAGGACTCTGTCCCCGCCAGCCGGGCCCTGGCCTCTCTGAAGTCACTGGATGCTCTTCCCTGGCTGCAGCGTGGGTTACTCCACCCTCCCTTTCCACAGGTGGCAGGACCCGCCAGAGAGGGGCCATGTCCACTGGAGACCACCCTGAGGGCAGTTAGCACTCTGCCCAGGTGGGTCCCCGGGCCCTGGCTCCTACTCCCACCCCAGCCTTGTTTTTCATCCCTGGGCTGCCACTGTCTGTCACCTTTGCTGCTGCTGCTGCTGCTGCTGACACCAGGCCAGAAAAACCCGCTGGGCAGGACTGGCTGCTGCCAGAGTTAGGCCTGACTCGGTCCTTAGGGTTTTTCTGACAGCCAAGGGCTGGCACAGCCCCTGTCCCCTCACACACCGCCCCACCCCCGTGGGTGGGTCATCTGGACTGAGACTCAGCTCTTCCTGCAAGCTCTGAGGCCCCGAGGGCCTGGGCCTGGGGCTGGTGGAGGTCTGGGGAGGCCCCGGAAGGCAGCCCCTGCCTGAGAGGTTGGCGGAGGCCTTGAACCTCCATGTGGGCCGTGAAGGCTGGCCGAGGCCGAGGCTGAGGCCAAGGCCAGGCAGAGGAAAGGGAAAAGGCGACATTCCCACAGACGGGCGGGAGCAGCGGCCGGCAGACAGGCCAGGCTGGGAGGCAGAGCAGCGGCCCGGGTGCCGGGTGCCCCAGACAGGGCCGGCTCGCAGGAGGGCCGTGCCCATGCCATGCATGGCATTAGCCCGGCCTGCCTGCCGCGGGCAGGCCCCTCTCCTCTCTGGCCTCACGCTCCTCCACTGTGAAACAGGAAGGCGGGACGAGGTGGGAGAAGGGACGAGACCTGCCGTTTACTGAGCCCCGACTGTGTGCCACACGTGGGCTGGGGCTGGCGTGGGCATGGTTCCCAGATTTGAAAATTCTCCAATTCCCAGGTTGGAGGGTTCTAGAATTCCTGGGTCCCTTGCCCCTGCCCCTCATCTCATCTCCTGTTCTCCACTCCCTGACCCTCCCGTGTGATCAGAGAACGCTTTGTTTTAGATAACTTTCCAGGTAACTGCAGATGACCTTCAAATACCAAAACCTTCAAAGTTGTGGTCATTTGGGGTTGAAATCTCATTCAAATCTGTCACACCCCTTCTGCCCCCTCACCCAGAGGAACGCAGCCACCCCAGGCTGCACCCCAGGCTTCTCCTTGGGGCAGGCAGGGAACAGGGCCTTCTGCCCGGCACTGGGTGCCCAGACACAGAGCTGCTGCGGTCCCTGCTCCCGGCCTCGCGCCTGCCCGGCTGTGGGCTCCTCACTCTGCAGCTCGGAGCGACGGTCCTCCCTGTGCTCGCAGCCAAAATCTAGGAACCTGCGAGCTCGTCAGAGCGTGGCCCTGAGGAATCATGGGGCTCAGAGGTGTCTCTGGGAGGCTGCCACGGGCCAGACAGGGCAGGGGACCGTCCCACAGCTGACGACACAAGTGGCTTAGTCATGGGGAACAAGACCTGCCCAGGGCATGTGAGTGGCTTTGTCTCAGGTTTGGGGATCATTGCTCCATCTGGCCTCTGTCCTTGAGCGGAGAACCGGCTCCCTTTGTGGCTGAGCTGCCCTGGGAGCCAGACACCTCTTAGAGTGCCGGGCCTGCCACCAGAGCCCCGGTTTCAGGGTCAGGACACCCAGAAGGTGGGAATCCGAGTTCAGAGCCAACAGAAGAGGGTTTCAAGAAGAAAGCATCTCTTGGCTGGGCGCAGTGGCTCACGCCTATAATCCTAGCACTCTGGGAGGCCGAGGTGGGAGGATTGCTTGAGGTCAGGAGTTCGAAACCAGCCTGAGCAAGAGCGAGACCCCGTCTCTACTATAAATAGAAAGAAATTAATTGGCCAACTAATATATATATAAAATTAGCCGGGCATGGTGGCGCATGCCTGTAGTCCTAGCTACTCGGGAGGCTGAGGCAGCAGGATTGCTTGAGCCCAGGAGTTAGAGGTTGCTGTGAGCTAGGCTGACGCCACGGCACTCACTCTAGCCTGGGCAACAAAGTGAGACTCTGTCTCAAAAAAAAAAAGAAATCAAGAAGAAAGCATCTCAATGAGGACTTAAGGGTTGGGCAGGGATGCTCCAGTCGCTGAGTCCCAGGTAGACTGGACCCTCTGGGCCTACTCCTGCCTCCCTCCCTGTCTAGTATGCATGCCATTATGAGCAGCGGGTCACAGAAAGGCTGTACAAGGCACTGAGGGACCCAAGAAGGCTCCTGACTCTGACTGAGGGGTCTGACACTCGTAGAGAATGGGCTACTTCACCTGGGCCTTGAGGCACGAATGATAGGAGTTTGAGAATTCCTTCCAACTAGAGGAAATAGTGTGTGCAGAGGTGCAGAGACCTGGAGTTGTGTTTAGAGTGGAGAGAGCGGTCCTGTGTGGTTTGGACCCTTTGACTTGGGCAGGGTGGGGACCCCACTTTGCCCTATCCTTCATGCAGACGGGAGGGTGGTTGCCTTGAACAAAGCTCTGTCTTCAGTGTTTACTTGTAAACCCTCAGGGAAGCTGCAGGCCAGCCCCGCAGCTGACAGGAAGAGAAGCTGAGCTGCAGGCAGACTGGGACAGAGAGCAGCAGTCTGGGCAGCCGGGTGATGGACACCCCCCTCTTGTTCAGGAGGACTGCAGGGACTAGGGGCTGGCACGTGCCAACCCCAGCTTGTAAGAGCATTGCCTTCAAATTGCTTACCCAGATTCTAATGCAGAAGCCAGGAGGGGCGTGTGTGTGTGTGTGTGTGTGTGTGCGTGCGCACCATCAAGTGTCTGAACACGGGATTGGATCTCATTTCGCCTGAAATGTGAGCAAAATGAGCCATGGCTTGTGGCTCAGGAGGCTGAGGGGCCGTGCTGGGCACCCCATGCCTGGCCCACCCACAGGTCCCTAGGCTTTCCCAGCTCTCACCTGCACCAGCCACCTGGACAGGGACCTTCCCCGGGCTCCGAAACTGGCTCCTTCCCAGCTGGGAGCCGGAGCTGTTGGGTGCTCTCCCCGCAGGCCCAGCCTGGCCGGGTGGCCCGGACAGCTCTGTCGGCCGCGTCCCAGGTCTGCCTCTCCTGGGAGGGTGCGCCAGTGCTCCCCACTTCGGCAGGCAAGGACAGAGGCCTTGAGGGGTGGGCCTGGCTGTCAGCTGGGCCCTGTCCAGCTGGGAAGGGCGGCTGAGGTCCAGCCGGGCGGAGAGGACAGGGAGGGAGGCCCCTGGGGGGCACAGCTCAGGCAGCAACAGGGCAGAGTAGAACTGGACTTGGAATGAGAAGATCTGGGACACTATTAATATAATTGGAATAATTATTATTGCTATTGTATAATAATCAATTGAGGAGCACATTGGGCAACACTCTACCTGTGTGAGCTCAGATGTGACCCTGGCTCTGACCTTTCTTGCTATGTGGCTCTGGGCAGGTCTCAGCTGCACTCAGTGCCTCAGTTTCCCCACTGTACAAGGGCCCGACTTGCTCCTCCTGGCTGTGAGGAGGCCGGGCCGTCACAGTAGCCGCACCTGCCCCGCGTCGGTGCCACCCGGGCGCGGCCTGTCCTGGGACAGGCCGCGCCCACTGACCAGGCTGGGCGAAGGCGGGAGGTGAGAAGGAACGTCGGCTGACTGCGTCGGAGAGGACGTAAAGGACACCGGGCAGGACGCGCAATCAGAGCCAGCGCTTGAGTCTGAGCTACCAGGGCTTTACCTTGAGGGCAGTGGGGAGCCACAGAAGGTTCTTGTGGGGGGACACGAAGCACCCAACACACCTGAGCTCCTGTCACAGCAGCAGGCCTGGTCATGATGCTCTTAGGCCTCTCTCGCTCCCCAGGGACTGTGGGGACAGGGTGGGGGCGGGAGGGCAGAGAACGTCAAAGCTGCGGGTGTCACAGGGATGTGGAGGAGGCGGTCTGAGCGCCCCTCGCTGGGAGGTGCCCCTCTAATGCTGCCAACCGGGCGGCATGGCTGGCACTTCCCCGCACGGGAGATGTCAGTGTGAGGAAACTGAGGTTCCAAGAAGTTAGGTGACTCGCCTAAGGTCACACAGCAAGAAGTGTCCTCTCCCGGGCCCTAGGTGGGGCGGGCCGGTGGGTCTGCGCTGCCCGCCCCTCCTCCCGCCCCCGGGACCCACCGGGAAGGGCCAGCAAGGGTGGTGGTGAGACGAGCGGGGGACCACGCCAGGCGGCCCGCTCTGAGGTGGCCGCGGGTCCTCTCCCCTAGCTACGGGGACCAGGTGCAGCACTTCAAGGTGCTGCGCGAGGCGTCGGGCAAGTACTTCCTGTGGGAGGAGAAGTTCAACTCCCTCAACGAGCTGGGGATTCTTACCGCTGACCTATCCATTCTATCTGGAGTCTCTTCTCATTGAGGAGCCCAGCGCTTCAAGGTAGGCTTTGTTGTGGTGAAATGAGGGAGGCGTGCAGGAGGGCAGAGACAGCGGGAGGAAGGGATGTGCGTGATCTGATTAGGGGGAGCTTAGGCGAGTGATCTGCAGTGGGGAGACAGGGGAGGCAGGGGGTAGACAGGTGGCGGGGGTAGATGAGGCGGGTATCTGGAGACAGGGGAGGCGGGGGTAGTCTTATGGTGTTTTGTGTTGTGATCTGTGTTATGGCGGGGGAGACAGGGGAGCGGTATGGAGGCGGTGGGAACATGGATCGGTGGAGACTTGTGTATCAGGGGGAGGCAGGGGAGCGGAGACAGGGGAGCAGTGGTTGCAGGGCATGGGGAGGCAGTGGGAGGCGGGGAGGCAGGGATGGTCAGGGGAATACATGTAGCAGGGAGGCAGTGTGGAGATGGGGAGTCGGGGGATGCAGGAGATGGGGGATCGGGGAGACGGGGGATTCTGGACAGGGAGCAGGTGAGGCAGGAGACAGGGGAAGCAGAGGGCGGGACAGGAGGGAGAAGGGAAGCAGGGAGGCAGGGGAGAGATGGGAGTCATGGAGGCAGGGGAGGATTGTAGGCAGCGGTGAGGCAGTGGAGGCAGGAGCAGTGGAGTCAGGGGGGAGGCGTGGGAGCGGGGAGAGCAGAGCGAGGGGGAGGCAGTGTAGCAAGGGCGGCCTGCGGGCAGCCTCTGCAGTCTCCTGCCCGTCCTCCAGCGGCCGGTGCTGCGAGAGGGCCAGCCCGGCTGCAGAGGCGTGTTCTGGCGGTGCTGCAGGGAGACAGCACGGGTACAAGGGAGGCGAGGGGAAAGCAGGAAGGAGCAGAATGGCAACTCCATGGGCGCAACTCTAGCTTGTTCTCAGCTCCTGGAATAGTGTGTGGCACATAGTGGGTGCTCCATAAATGTTTGTTGGATGAATGAATAAAGGTACAGACACCCACACCAAGCCTACTGGTTACCACGCACAGAGCTGGTCTCTGTACTCTGGAGGGCTTGTTGTGCCCATTGTACAGATGAGGAAACTGAGGATCAGAGAGTGATGTGACTCCCCAAGGACACATACTGGTAGGCTTAGTCCTGGTTTCTGCTCCCATAGGAGCTGGCTTTGGGTGTGGGCAGTGTGAGCGCTCGTGGGCGAGGTCTGGGCAGCCACAGGGTGTGTGGGGTCTGTCCACCCCTTTCCTCACCATAATAGCAATTTGCCAGCCAGCCCTTTCATCAAGGGGCCCCAAGGACCGGCTCTTACTCTCATTAGGCTGACAACAGCAGCCAACGGGGTCATTAGCCCCACATGCTGTTTTGCTCCAGAGGAAAGGCCTGGGGCTGGAGGCCAAGACCCTGGCACCCCAGCACCGGGTTCTGCAGAGGGGATGGGGAGCGTGGCCAAGGCTTGGGGAGGGGGCTGACAAGCGCTGCAGAGAAGCTCCAGTTCTGCCCTGATCCTAGCACCCCCCACAGCCTCGCGTGTGACCTGAGGGCCAGGTCATCCCTTAACTGGGCCTCAGTTTCCCCTCTGCCCAGTAGGATGAGCCCTGGGGTCTGCTGTGCCAGGTCAGTCAAACAGTGCCTTGGGAGACCCCACCAGGGCCCTCTGGTGGCCTCCTGTGCCCAGCCCTGAGGGCCAAGGTCAGCCGTGAGCTCCTGGTCTCAGGGACTCTTCTCCAGCTGGGCCCAGCCTGCCAGACCTCTGCCCTGCTCTTTCTCACTGCCTGGGCCAGCCCTGCCTGGGAGAGCATGAGGGAGGCAGGACAGAGCTGGGGGTGACTGAGGGCTCCCCTACACTCATTGCCTCACTCTGGCCTGGGCTCTGGGGCACCCACCCTGTGCGGCGACTCTGAAGCTGGCTCAGTCCCTTGGGACCCAGGACGCCTCCTCCTTCCTGGGCAGATAAGCGCTAATTACGGCCCCTGCTGATTCTATCTTCCACCCTGGATGGGATCTGCAGGCTCAGACTGAGATCCTAGTGGGGCAGGCAGGGCTGGACCACTGGGTACAACAGTCGCAGTATCGGGCAGAGTGCCCCTGTCCAGCTACCATGGAGAGGTGGGGAAACTGAGTCCCACAAAGGGCAGGGACACACCCAAGGTCACACATGTGGTATATAGATAGGACTGGAACAGACCTGAGGGCTGAGAGCAGCTCAAAGTGACAGTCCTTGCCCTCAAGGGCAACAGCAGTAAACTCCACTCTTAGCTGCACATCACTTTACAGTTTATAAGCCCATTCCCGTGGCTCCGTGGCCTGGAGTCAGAGTAATCACGGCTGCCGCAGAGCCAGGGAAATGAGACCGAGACATAAGGGACCCATACTCAGGTCTCCTGACCCACCAGCCCTGTAGACCCAGCTGGGCCACCAGGAAAGTCATGTTTTATGTAGACGCAGAGTCTGCACAGCACACATGCAGGGGCCTGGGCAGCAGGTGGCTTGTGGGGTGGTGTGGCCACTATCTGGACTTGGAGGTGGAGGCAGAGTTCAACTCCAACGCCACCCAAGACCCTCCCCACCTGCAGCAAGTCACTTTTCTTGGGACCTCGGCAGGGAGAGCAGGGTGGCAGTGCTCCTGACGGCCCTACTAACTGCTCCCTTGCCTTGCAGCCGCCCCGGGCCTGCTTCGCTCAGGCTCAGTTTGACTTCTTGGCCCAGGACCCGTCACAGCTCAGCTTCCGCCGTGGGGACATCATTGAGGTGCTGGAGCGACGAGACCCCCACTGGTGGCGGGGCCGATCCTGCGGGCGCGTGGGCTTCTTCCCGCGGAGCTACGTGCAGACTGTGCACATGTGACCTGTGAGCAGGCAGAGCTGATGGCCCATCCGGCCAACGGGCCATTCCACGGGAACTGCAGTCCAGAGAGAGGACGTGGACACCCCACCCTGTGTCACACAGGGCTCAGCAGAAGGCCCTGGAATGAACGTGGGCTCCCAACTGCCTCCAGCCACTTTGCACAGACCGGGATGGGCCCCAGCGCCCCAAAACTGCAGCTGTGTTTAGCAATGGCAGGGTGAGGGTAGCTCCCAGGGCTTCCCACCTGGCCACTTCCCATTGGCCGCCAGTGGTGTGATGTCACGGGGCGGGGTCTGCAAAGGGCCAACCCGCCTCCTCCTGTCAACGGCCCCTCCTCCTCTGGGAGGGTTGAGGACTCCAGGTTGCACCCACTGGGGGCTCAGCCCAAGGAACCCACGGGCTGTTAGGGAAGGGGCCCTGCCCCTAGGGACAGGCTGCATACTGTTGACTTGGATCCTTGGACAGAGTCCAGGTGGACACCAACTCTTCTGCAGCTCCATGACTTTGGGGTCCACCTGGGGCATCAGCGTCTCCACGCCCGCCACAGACACTTTGGAGAGGGGCTAGACGGGTGCCCTGAGCCCTGAGGAAGGGGTGGACAGCGGGTGCGATGGGGGCAGCGCTCCTCTCCTGTTGGTGCTCCAAGAGGCAAGCCCCGGCCCAGCCCCGCGGGAGACCGAGGCTGCACCGGGGCTCAGGCCCAGGTTGCCCAGACCGGGCCCAGGGGAGCTGGGGCGGCCAGCAAGCCTACCGGGAGTTGGAGCCAGAGCAGGGACTTAGAGACCTGCAGGACCCAGATGTAGCGGGCAGCCTAGGCAGGGCCCAGCCCTACCTGAGAAAAGGAGGGATATCAAGGCGGGAGACGCGCCCAGCGTGGGGCACCGCCTGCCCAGAGCCTGGGCAACTGCAGGAGCAGGACAAGCCAGGGGGGCTTGGAAAGGCTTTGTACACCAGGCTGATGGTGGAGGGGAGGTGGCGGGCAGGCACGGAGAGGAGGCGCCCCCCGGGAACAGGACTGCAGGCCCTGGCCCTTCCCACGTCCTCCTCCTCCTCCTCCTCCTCCTCCCCCCCGGCCCCCCCCCCCCCCGCACTGGGCGCAGGTGGGATGGAGGGGGCCCTGTGCTGTGGACACGTGGGGGCCCAAGACCCGCAGAGCCCTGAGCTCTGGCAAATCACGCCGCTCCTTCCCTGGGCCCATGTATTCAAAACAAAAACGATAATACCTATATAAGGATGTCCATCAGAAATCTAATTTTCTTTCCAATTATGACCACTTTTGGTGCTATTTTTGAAATATCACAATTTTCCCCCATTTCCCCCTGATTTTTGTGGGCTCCTGCTTTGCTGGCTAGGCCAGTCCCGGGGCACTGACCCATGCACAGCTGTGAGGAGAGTCTGCACCTCTCTGGGCCTCAGTGTCCCCATTGGGGAAAAGGGGGACCGGAGGACTCAGGCTCCTGCTTCCTGCCCGCGGTGGCAGCGTCAGGCGAAGTAGGCGTAGAAGAAGATGTTGACGCACATGAGCAGGACGGCGTTGAAGCCACAGACACGGGCCCAGAACGTGTATTTCTGGGGCGTTTGGCCATCACCTGGAGGGAGTTGGAGAGGAAGAGAGGGACAGATGAGGGACACAGGCCATACTGGCACCCTTGCCCCAGCCTCAGGGTGGGGATTGAGCGGGAAGGCCCAGGGTCCCCCACTTGCCTGCTTTGGCTCTCAAGGGCAGGTCCTGAGCCAGAGTCCACCAGGTAAGGTTCTCGATCTGCAAGGAAGGAGCAGGGAGGCAGGAGGCGGTGTGGCCTTTGTCCCAGACAGGAGCAGGGGTCAGTGATGGAAAGCTGACAGCAGAGCTCAAAAAGGGATGGGGTCAGGGCCAGCCAGGGTCAGGGGGCTGAGGGCTAGACAATTCTTGAGTCAGAGAGGGCCAGGGATCAAAGTGGGAGACAGTCAGAAATTGTGAGGGGTCGGGGTCAGGGTTGTAGTCGGGGTCAGGGCAGGCTCACCTGAGCACCCTGGGGGGGTGGGGTCAGCAGGCTTCCGGCCACCACGATCGCCCCGCTGAGCACAAAGAGGACGGCGGCGAAGTGCAGGTAGTGGATGCTCTCCAGGAGGGCCGGCCGCGTGTCCGGCTCGCCGCAGGGCGGGGCCGGGTGCAGGAATTCCAGGACCAGTCTGGTGGCCCCCACCACCAGCCCCACGATCAGGCCCCAGAAGGCCCCCTGGGAGGAGGGAGGCAGGGCGTGTGGGCTGCGGGAGGGACATCGAGCCCCCCAGACACACGCACAGGCTGCAGGGCAGGGGTGAACAAGCTGCAGCGCATCTGCGGGGTGAGGCTGGGAGCCCCCAGCCTGCCCTGCGTCCCTCCCTGCCACCCACCTGCTCATTGGCACGCCGCCAGAAGATGCCCAGGATGAAGACCGCAGTGATGGGCGGCGCCAGGGAGCTGGTCACCGACTGCATGTAGGTGAAGAGCTGCCCGCTGTTGGAGCCCTGCAGCACGGGGATCCAGGCCACGCTCACGCCGATGAGCACCACGATGACCAGCCTGCGGCAGCGGGCGCTGTCACCCCCGACCCTCTGCAGCCCTCCCCCACCTCCCCGGTCACTGGGACTTGCTCTCCAATCTGTCCCCTGCAGCCCCAGCCTCCTCCCTGGCCTCTGTCCATGCCACCAGTGACCTGGCCAGTCCCGTCCTGCACCACTCCCTTCCACAGCTCCGCGCCGCCTGCAGGACGGCCCCGACTCAGTGCTATCTGCTCCCTGCCGTCCCTGGGCCCCATGAGTCAACCCTTGAAGTCCTCCACGGCCACCCAGGTTCACCTGTCTCTCCTCGAAGGCACTTGTCCCAGCTGCTGCATGCACGTGTATTTGGGTGTTGCCTGTTTACTACCTGTGCCCCCTCCCGACTGGACGCGCTGGGCGGGCCGGAGCCTCATCTCCTTAGCTCACTGCTGTGTCTCCCGGCACACTGAACATTTGGTGATGGCACGAATGACCCACTGCCCTCGCGTCTGGGCCAACCGACCTCCTGGCAGTTGTTTGAACACTTCCCACCGCCCGTCCTCTGCAGTGGCCCCGGCCCCCCACCAGCTCTTTGCTGTTGACTCACACCCGTTACAGGGCAGCCTTCCTCCCAAGGGTGCAAGTGTTGGTGTCTGGACCCCTCAGCCATGAAGCCTGAGCCTTTCTGTGCCAGTGGAGCCCCTCCCCCACGCTCCCTGCACCCAGTCCTCCCATCTGCCCCTCCCCCATGCTCCCTGCACCCAGTTTTCTGTCTGCTCCTGTCCGCCCTGCCCCTGGGCCAAGAGCCCTTCCACAGCAGGGACGTGCTTCCTTTGTTCACTCAACAAACCACTCACGAGGTGCCCACCTGGGTTCAGGGCGCTGTGCTAGGAGCCCGACTCGGTGATGGAAAGGCCCTGGGCCTGCCCAGCACTCGGAGTCCAGCAAAGAAAACAGGTGAGCCTGTCACCTGCTCTCAGAGTGGGGCTGAGGGAGCTGAGAGAAAACATCAGTCTAGGAGGGGTTCCAAGAGGAGGGATCCCCAGAGCCTTGAAGGGGCGTGGGACTCGGCTAAGGGGACAGGGCTGGGGCGAGGTATTCATCTGCTGGCCCTGGCTGAGCACCCCCCAGCCCCAAGCAGGGAGGTGGGTGACGAGCACTGGAGCCCCGGCCGGGCCAGCATGGGTGACGGGGAGGCTGTGTGTGCAGCGGGGTGGGTCCCCCGCCCGCCTGCCTTTCCTCCCTTCCAGGCCTGCGGAGAGGGTGGAGGAAGGAGGTGCCGCCTTGATTAAGGCTAATTAACCCTTAGCTTGGCGGTGCTGCCTCATCAAAGGCTCAGGCGGGCTTCCATTAACACCTGCCACCCCGCCCTCTGCACACAGCTCCCGCGGCACTGGACTGCACAGCTCTGTGCCAGGCCACGGCCTCTCCAGCCAGCCCGGACCGGGCCCTCACCTCACCTTGCTGCCACGCAGCCAGCTCCAGGCCGCCAGAGGCCCCAAACCCAGAGCTGCTCCCCTGCCTGCCCTGCCCTTCCTCACCCCTCCCGCAAGGCTCACCCATCCTCGGGAGGCGCATAAGCCCACCGCTTCCGCCACCCTCAGGAGGGATGGTCACAGCCAAGCCCCTCAAGGCGGGGTCTGCCTGCGTCCTGCACGCGGCCAGCTCGAAGGGCTGGGCCTTGGGCCCCACCCGTGGACTGGACAGCAGAGGAGGCAGGCGGGAGGGACAGCTCGAGGCAGGAGGGAAGGAACAGAGGACGGGGTGTGGGGGCTCGGGGCAAGCAAAGACACAGCCCCCGTCATTGCTGCTTCCGCCGGTGACAGCTCCCACAGCCCCTCAGCCTGACCCCGTCAGGGTCCCTGGCCTCCCCCTGTGGCCTCTGCTCTGCTCTGCTCTGTTGCCCCTTCTCCGTGAGTCCCCTGTCTCCATGATGGGGCCTCAGATCCTGCCACCCACCCTACCAGAGGCCCGAGACCCCACGGGGCGGTGGAAGTACGGCCCGAACCGTGGTGTTTAGGCAGCAGGAGGCTGAGACAGGGCTGAGTGGCTGCACGTGCCACCGGTTTCCCAGCGCTTCACCAGGGAGCGGGGCAGAGCTGACCAGCCTGACGCCGGCACGGGGCCCTTTTCTGCTGCTTTGAATTGGCTGCTGAGAGAACTTGGGCCCAGAGAGGGTGAGCCACCTGCCCAGCACCACACAGCCTGTGCCCTGGCCCACGGGGAGGCTGAACACCAGGCTGGCAGGGCAGGTGGGGGCGGGAGGGGCGTTGACTTGGCAGGAGAGGCGGGAAGGAGGTCGAGGGCCGGGTGGCCGGGCAGGTGAGCTGCACGGAGCAGACGCCTGGTGGGAGCAGGGGAGAAGCCTGCTTCTGAGCAGTCTGGGCAGTACTAGGCAGGGGACATGAGGGCCACTAGGCAGGTGCAGAGGCTACCAGTGTCCCAGGCCAGAGGGCCAAGGCACACGCTGGGTACATACAGGCGGGGACCCAGGTCCTGGTTCCGGGACGCTGGCACAGGGAGGGGCCTAGAGTGGGGTTTGTCCACAGAGGAGGTGCTGTGGTCAGGGCCTCTGCGAGGCCACACAGCGCTCGGGGGGGGGGGGCAGGGAAACCTGAGCGAAGAGGTGGCCAAGGGGCCGAGCGCCCAGGACGCACCCGTGTGGAGGCCTCCTGCGTGGTGAGAGGCGAAAGGCTCCTTGTTTTGGCGGAGCCTGCGGGCTTGCCGATGAGCTCACGCGCACACGCCACCGGGCGTGTCCCAACAGGGCCCTCCGACAGAAGCCGGGCTGTTTTGTGCTGGGACAACTGCCTGGGCTCTGGGGAGACCCCACCCCGGGGACAGGACCCTGGGCAGAGGGTGCTCTGTTGGCCAAGCTAAGCGCCGACGGCTGTGTCCCTCGGGCAGCAGAGTGGGGCCCACGTGGCTCAGGGGGTACGAGCAGGGGGACAGGAGTGGGACGAGGGGTGGGAGAGGGCCCAGGTAACGGCTGTGGGCACACACTCAGAGACTCCATGGAGCTCACCCCTACGGGACTCCTGGGTGCTGGCTGGGCACGGGATAGAGGGCGGGCCGGGCCAGCCCTCCATCAGGAGCGCCCAGGCGGGAGCCCAGCTGGATACGATGGCCTGATGGCCTGGTGTGCTGCGGGAGGAAGCTGGTAGTAGTGCCCTGGGGCACGGGGGGAAGGGGGCTCATTTCCTGGCTGGGGTGTCAGGGAGGACCGCATGGGGGAGGGGATGCGGGGTAGAATCGGGAAAGCTCAGGTGAATCACTGAGACGGGTGAGGAGGGGACGAGCAGGGCTGGGAGGGCAGGAGCTCAGTGGGGCCAGGGCCCCCCAGGCGGTCCCCAGTGCTGGCATGGAGCCCTCTTTTGGGTGACTGGGAGCCGTCAGAGGGCCGGTGCTCAGGTCTGGGAGGACAGAGAGGTCTCAGGGACGGCGGGGGCAGGGAGGGCTGGCTCCACAGAGGGAGGGGGCTCCGGTCAGAGATGCACCCGACGACCGTGAAGGGGGACAGGTCCTCGGCCTCTCCTCTCCCCTCCTTCTTGCCATCTGCCCTTCTCCCTCAGCCCAGCTGGGGTGGGCATGTGGCCGGGTGCTCCCCAGCGCCGCCGTACCGGCCCACGAGCAGCAGCTCCCGCTCCCCAGCGCGGGGCCGCAGCCGCCTCCAGATGTCCATGGTGAACAGCGTGCTGCTGCTGTTGAAGATGGAGGTCAGCGAGGACATGAGCGCGGCCATCATCACGGCGATCATCAGCCCGCGCAGACCTGGGCGGAGGGGCTTGCTGTGACCCTGCCTGGCCCCCCTGGCCCCGGGCGCCCCCTGCCTGGGCCCCGCAGCCATTCGCAAGTCCCTGGGGCAGGGATCTGGGAGGGACAGAGGCCCAGGATGTCTGAGGTGAGCAAGACCCAAAAGTAGGCGGGGGGGGGGGCAGGGCTGGGGGCTCAAGCAAGCACTTTGGGAGGTGGAGGCAGGAGGATCAATGGAGGCCAGGAGTTCGAGACCAGCCTGGGCAACAGAGCAAGACCCCATCTCTACAAAAAATAAAATGAGCTGGTCATGGCATCTGTAGGCCCAGTTACTCTGGAGGTTGAGGCAGGAGGATCACGTGAGCCCAGGGGTTAGAGGCTGCAGAGAGCTGTGATCACACCGCTGCACTGCAGCCTGGGTGACAGAGACCTCATACCTAAAAAATAAAAAATAAAAATAAATAAATAATAGGCTGGGGAGGCCAAGGACAGCCCACGGGGACGTGTGAACTTGCTGCTTGAGCCTACAGCTTGCTGGCAAAGCTAATTCGACTGTAATTACTGGTATTGTCTAGGACGCTAGGATCGGCTGGAGCCTGGCAGTTGACAAGGCACTTTCACACCCATGACTTCATTCACCGGAAGGATTATTAACCCGTTTGACAGCAGAGGAAACGGAAGCTCAGAGAAGGGAAGAGAGTTGCCCAGAGACTCACAGCGGGCCAGAGGCAGAACCTCGGGGTGGGGTGGGGGCGGTGAGGAAGGCTTGGGGCGGGACCCTCTGCTTGGAGGTCACACCCTGGGCAGGGCTCCTGTCTCACCCCAGCCTGCAGTGGCCCGGCTGGAACTTCCCACCATTTCCTGTGCGTGACAGGACCCAGCAGGCACAGGGGATCTTTCTGGTTGGTGCTGTCGCTCCCCAGCAGGGGAGCAAGGGAGGGCTCAGTCAGGGGTGGGGGAGGCATTGTTGTGCAAAGCCGTCTGGGGGTCGTGGGCTCAAGAGGGAGACCCCTAAAGAGGAGGAAGGATGCTTGACTGCCAACTCCCAGCTGTGTGGCTTCAGGCCAGTCACCTCCACTCTCTGGGCATTGATTGGTCTGAGTCAGTCTCCAAGGACTCTTGCAAGTTTTCATCAAGTGTTTAAGCACCTCCTTCACCTCTACAACCTGCCTGCCCATCTGTCTTCCACCCCTTGTCCTGGATAAGCCTGACATGGAGCCCCCCTTCCCTGGGGGTTCAGGCTTAGAGGTGCCATTTGTGTCCATGGGGTGGGGGTGGGTGGTTAGGGCGTCCCTCATCCAGAGCAGAAGGGGACGGCAAAACCCAGAGTCTGGGCGGAAGCCCACAGTGTGCGCCATCCTTGAGGGTAGTTTTCGTGAGCTCAGTCCCAGCAACAACGCTGAGGGTGGGGGAGTAGATGCCATCATCTCCAATTTACAAACCAGGACACTGAGGCTTCAAGGCTTCCAGCAGGGAAGTGACATGGCCCAAATATCTTGGCCAGCAAGCGGCAGAGCCAAGATTTGATCCCAGGTCTGTGCACTCACTTCCCTTGGGCCTGGGCTCTGCAGGAGGGACGGAGGGGAGGGAAGAGAAGGGGGATCACCTGAGGAACCAGGAAGCTTCAGGGAGGGGGCGAGAGGGAGAGGGGAAACTCAAGCCCCTGAGAATTCTGAGCTGAAAGGCTCTGGCTGCAAAGGGCTCAGAAAGCCGTTTCCTCTTTGTGCTCAGAGTGGGGCCTCCGTTGTTTTTACTTACACACCTCCTGTGTTGGGAACTCGCCACCCTGTATCAGACTGGCAGGGCTGCTGCCGCCATGAGAAACATGGAAAAAGCCGAAACCTGCCCCACAGTTCTACCTGTGGGCCCGCAGTGTCTCTGGGGGACACAGAGGATGGGGGCCCGTGGCTGCGGGTGTGGGGATGGGGATCCTGAGCTCCTGGTCCTGGCAGAGTAAGCAGCGGACTTGGGTTTGTGTCTCAGTCACTCCCTAACCTCATACAAGACACGTTCCCCTCTCTGTGCCTCAATTTCCCCATCTGTAAAATGGAGCCAATACCCTACCTCATTTAAGGAGAAGCTGTTTTGTACAAGGGCCTGGCACCCAGCAGACACGTAAGAGGAGAAAGTAAGTGACCTTTCTGGAGAGATGGTATAGCATGGGATGAGAGGACAAGGTCTGCAGGCAGATTAATTGGGTTCAAATCCCAGCTTGCAGCTTACCTGACATTGGACGTTGGCCAGGTCACTTAACCTCTCTGGGTCTCAATTTCCCTCCTTTAAAATGGGGATGAGACTAACAGCATTAGGGTCCCTGACTGAGGGGAACCCAGTGCATGAGCAGGAAGCCCCTGGGACGGTCCCAGCACTCGGTAGGCGCCGACTGTTTCCTACCACGGTGCTTCTCCTCTCTTCCCCTAGCAGCAGGACATCGGACCCAGATGTCATCTTGGATCCAGGGTGGCCCCCACTGCCCCCAGGGCCCTCCACGCTTACTGGGCCCCAGGTTCCACCTCGCCCACCCCCGCCCGGACCCCCCACCCGGCCTCACCTATGGGCATCAGCTCCATGACCAGCTTGGGGTAGGCGATGTTGGAGCAGCCGACCTCGGCCCCGCAGGCCCGCAGGCACTCGGACGGCACCACGCAGCCCACGTCATCTGCGAGACAAGGACGCTCGGTGCAGACAAGGCACCGCGCTGGGCCAGACCCGGCTGGGGCGGGGCCTGTCCCTACGGGCCGGAGCCTCCCGTCTGGGCCATGAGGAGGGGTGTCCTCTGGGAACTCTTCTGGCTCCAACGCCCCTGACTCTTTCCCCACCCTGCCCTCCATCACAACCCCTTCTCCCTGTCCCCACATCCCCAGGCCAGGGGCTGGGCTGCAGTGTGGCCCTGCCCACGTGAGCAGCTGGCCGTAGAGCCTATCTAGGGTGCCAGTCTCCCCACTCCCCGTCCCAGCCATTCTGGCCTCGGTGTCACGCCTGCAGCTCTGAGGGTGAGAGCCCCAGTGCCACCAGCAAGGCCTGCCTGCTTGAGCTTGCCTGCTGTAGGCGAGGGGTCACTGGCCCTCAACCCCGGGGTCAGAGCTTCCGGCCAGGCCATTTCCTGAGCCAAAGCCCAGAACTCCAATGGGTCAGCTTCTCGGTGGTCCGTAAGACCCTCTGTGATCCAGACCCCTGCCCCTCCTGGTCATGCACCTTGCTCCCCTCACCCCACCCCTGCTGTAGCCACGCGCCTTCCCAGGGGCTGCCTCCTCCCCCGTCCCTGCTCTCCATCTGGCCCCTCTCCCCACATCATTTTTTTCCTCATTCCTTGTCATCCCTGACGTGTTTACCGGGTTCTCGCCTCTTCCCTATGGTGGGAAGCCCCGCGAGGATGGGGACTTTGCCATGTGCTGTCTCCGTGGCTGGGGCAGTGCACACGGGTCATCCCTTGAATGAATGAATGCATGCATGAATGAATGAATTTCCTGGGCCTGGGCCAGCCCCGGGCTGAACCATAACTGTGGGCGTCCTGGCCCCCAGCCCTGTGTGGGGCAGAACCCCGCCCCTGCGCCCGGGCCACTCCGCTCTGCAGGACTGTGGCCCCGGGCAGTCGCGGGTCTGCTTGCCTCCCTCACCAGCAACACGCAGCTGCCGAGGGAGTTGACTGACCCCACGCTCACTCTTCCTCCCATAAAAGACTTTCCACAGACCTCTGGCCCCTGTCCCAAGGGTGTTCAGCAGGGCCCATGCAGCGCAGAGCAAACAGGAGACCGCGACTGTGGGGGTTCAGGGACAGAAGCCAGGCCCACGTGCACAGGAGGCAGGAAAGGGAGCCTCCTCAAATGCGGGGGCCTGCGGGAGGCCAGTAAAGTCTCAACAGGGCGTTTCTGTGCAGCCACCCCTCCACACGCCCCTTCTGCGAGGTCCTGCGGCAGACGCCCAGCCACGGAGGAGGGTGGGTCTCGGAGCCCTTCCTCTAGGCCACCTCCGCCCCCGCCACGACCAGCATGCCCACACTCCAGTCCCCAGCCCAGCCTCTCTGAGCCCTGGACAGTCGGGGCCATCCGCCAGGCAGCTCCCCAGGCGGCGTCTCCTCCCCGCCTGCCAGCCCCAGGCCCTTAAATCACAGCTCTCCTCGTGCCACGTGCTCCTCAGGACCCTCCTCCCCACCTGCCACCCCAGGAGCCCGTGGCATCCTGGAAATGAGGGCCTTTTCTGTGGCATTCAAGGTCCTTGAAAACTGGTCCCGGAACCTCCCATCCCAGCACTGGGCGCCAGCCGCCCTGACCTGCTTGCATTTTCTCACACACGCCCAGGCTCTGCCGCCTCCCTGGCCTCCAGACGCCACTGTCCACTCAGCCCCACCCCCACCCTGTCTGCCTCGGGCTTCCAGGCCCAGGAAGGGCTTGCCCGCTGAGGCCCTCCCTGGCTCCCCCCAAGCCCAGGCAGTAGCAGCTTCCTCCCCAGGGCTCCTAAGGCCGAAGACTGAATCACAGTTGTTTGTTTACACAGTCTACCTCTCCACCAGAACAGGAGCTCCCCAAGGGCAGACACTGGGTTTGAATCATCTCCAAGTCCCAGGTATCGCCCAGCCCAGGGCTGCGCCCAGAGGAGACATTCTGTGAACATTTGTTGAATGAAGGAATGAGTAAGTGAATGAATGCTGGGAAGTAGGGAGGAAAGGCACAGGGGGAGAGGAGAAGAGGAAGAAAGGATCCTAGAAAGAGCCATGGAGGAGTTCAGGCACCATTTGATCCAGCTGCCCTACCTTACCGCCTCCACCCCCCACTGGTTTTGCAGGACCAGAAAGGACATAACTTGCCTGGAACACACAGCAGAGCAGGGACAGAGCCTGGGGCCCCATGGCACGACCCTGACGCCACGAGGGTCAGGTGATGGACTCTGAGCCTGCACCAGCTGAGTCTGGCACTTAGAGGGCCCAGCCCTCCTGGGAGGGCCAGGCGAGGTGTCGCAGGCACATAATGGCTCAGAAAGCACAGCCAGGAGATTCTCCCCAAGTTTGCCCAGCCCACTGCAGGCTGCCGGCACGGGGCACCACCTCTGCACCACTGGTTCAACCAAGTGCTGTGCTGAACAGCAAGAAAGAACAACCTCTCCTGTATGAGAACAGCGGTGGCAGTGTCGCCATCGAAACACAGTCCCCCAGTGTGCCAGCTGCCAGGTGCAGCCCAGGGACCCGTGAGAGTGGGGGACCAGGCCGGGTTGCCCTGGCTTCTGCAGGCCTGGGCGCTCCCGAGCAGCCCGGCCGACCAGGAGCTGGGAGCTGACCCTGCCCTTGCCCCGTGCCTGCCCTCCCCACAGCAGTGCAAGCCCTGCTTGGTTATGGGACTGTGCCACCTCCTCACTGCCCCCCCACCTCCGCTGCAACCAGCAAAGGGAACTTCTAAAGCCATCCCGTGCGCACGTCCCCCTGCTCACAGCCCTCTGTGGCTCTCCAGCCCCTGCAGGGGACCGTGGGCTCTATCCAAGGCCCCCCACCCGGGTGGCCACCCTCACCCCACTCATTTCACCCCGACTTCTGGCACCCAGGCTCTCTTGGACACCTCTGTGTCTGTTTGCGGCTCCCTCTCCTGGAATACCTTTCCCTCTTCATAAACCAAGGGGTCCATGCCCATTCCTCAGGCTCATTATGGATGTCCGGGGCCCCGGCTTTGGGGCAACAAGCTCCATGGCACCAATAACTCCATGACCTGTGTCTACCCTGCCTCACCACCAGACTCTGACTGTGGGACCTTAGGGAGAAGCCCAGGCCCCAACAATCTCTGCCAGCGTTTGCTGACCGACTGAATGATCCTCTCTGAAGGAGGCCAGCAGACACAACACGTCAAGGGGTAATCAAGGTGTTCCCTACTCCCCAGCCAGGCCTGGTCACCCCTGGGAGCCAGCCCAGACACTGCCGTTGCTATAGGAGCAGGAGAAAGGCTCGCAGGCCTGGGTTCGAGTCCAGCTCTCCCAATCCTTTGCAGTGTGCTCCGAGTGATTGCTTAAAGTCTCTGAGGCTGTTTCCTCCTCTGTAAAAACCCTTCTGGGGACATCCATAGGCCAAAAACCTAACCTCAACCTAAACTACACATTTTATATAAACTTAACTCAAAATAGATCATATGGCTGGTCCCAGTGCAAGGGTGTTTGTTTACCACTAATTGATCACAACCAGTTACAGATTCCTTTGTTCCTTCTCCACTCCCACTGCTTCACTTGACTAGCCTAAAAAATAAAAATAATTTTAAAAACCTAGCCTAGGCCGGGCGCGGTGGCTCACGCCTGTAATCCTAACACTCTGGGAGGCCAAGGCGGGAGGATTGCTCGAGGTCAGGAGTTCGAAACCAGCCTAAGCAAGAGTGAGACCCCGTCTCTACCATAAATAGAAAGAAATTAATTGGCCAACTAATATATATAGAAAAAATGAGCCAGGCATGGTGGCGCATGCCTGTAGTTCCAGCTACTCGGGAGGCTGAGGCAGGAAGATTGCTTGAGCCCAGGAGTTTGAAGTTGCTGTGAGCTAGGCTGACGCCACGGCACTCACTCTAGCCTGGGCAGCAAAGTGAGACTCTGTCTCAAAACAACAAACAAACAAACAAAAACCTAGCCTAAAAAAGTAAATTAACAGAAAACAAAATAGATCACAGATTTCAATGTAAAATATAAAAAAACTATCAAACTTTTGGGAAAAAAATAGGAGAAAATCTTCAGGCCCTGGGTCTAGGCTGTGAAAGTTGATCTTACAAATTGGGCCATTTTTGTCACACTCAACTAAAACAGAGTCAAAAGGTGGAGAGAGCAGTTGGGGGCACATAGCATTGCTGAAAGAACGCAATTCTCCGTGAGCCTGGCTGCTGAAACTGCCTGTGTAACCTGAAATCAGTTTTATCAACAGCTGCTGAGATAACTTGCTACAGCTCTAGGACTGCTTTGGCCACTGCCATCACTGACCAGTCAGAACTTTCCAGCTCCCCAACTCTTGCTAGTGCCAACGAACTTTCTCAAAGAACAGTAGGTAACGTTTCTGCTTTTTATAAAACCCCGAACCTACTCTTTGTTCTTTGGACATACCAAAGACCACGAGGTGTGTGTGTATGCCCCGAAGTGCAGTTCTTTCTTCCTAAATAATACCATTAAATGTAGTGATTCTACATTTTGTTTTTTTTAAGCTATAGTCTCGCTCTGTTGCCCTGGCTAGAGAGCAGTGGCATCATCATAGCTCACTGCAACCTCAAACCTATGGGCTCAAGTGATCCTTCTGTTTCAGCCTCCAGAGTAGCTGGAACTAAATGCATAAGTCACCATGCCAGGCTAATTTTTTTTTTTTTTAGAGACAGGGTCTCACTATATTTGCCTAGGCTGGTCTTGAACTCCTGGCCTCAAGCAATCTTCCTCCTTCAGCCTCCCAAAGTACTAGGATTACAGGCATAAGCTACTGAGCCCAGCCTCATCTCTACATTTTTCTTTTTTTTCTTTTTTTGAGACAGAGTCTCACTCTATTGCCCTGGCTAGAGTGCTGTGGCGTCAGCCTAGCTCACAGCAACCTCAAATTCCTGGGCTCAAGCAATCCTCCTGCCTCAGCCTCCCAAGTAGCTGGGACTACAGGCATCTGCCACCATACCGGCTAATTTTCCTATATGTTTTTAGTTGGCCAATTAATTTCTTTCTTTTTTTAGTAGAGATGGGGTCTCGCTCTTGCTCAGGCTGGTCATCTCTACATTTTTATTTTGACCCTGGCAAGGCAAGGAGTTTTTAGACTTGACATCAAAAGCATGATTCATAAAAGGAAAAGTTGATCAATCGGACCTCATCAAAATTAAAAACTTTAGCTCAGTGCAAGATACCTGTGAAGGTACAGACTGGGAGAAAATATTTGCAGGCCACATACCAGACAAAAGCCCTGCATCTAGAATATGTAAACAGCTCTCAACACTCAATAGTAAAGAATAGAAAATCTGATTAGAAAATGGGCAAAAGACATGAACAGACATTTCACTGAAGAGGGCAGAGAGATGGTAAATTAGCACGTGAAAAATGTTCAGTGATACCAGCATCAGGATAGCGCAAATTTAAATCACAGTAAGGTATTGCATACCTATCAGAGTGGGCAAAATAAAAAACTAGTGGTGACAGCACACCTGCTCAAGGACATAGAGAAACTGGGTCACTCACACATTGTGGAGAGAACGTAAAATGATGCAGACACTCCGGGAAACAGTGTGGCGGTTGCTCAATGAGCAGGCAGGTACCGCGGGACCAGGAGCAGCACGCAGGCGCCTGTGCCAGACAGGCGCAGCCCGCGAGCACGTGCGCACTCAGATGCTCGCCGCAGGTCACTGGCAATAATGAAAAGCTGAAAACAAGCCACATGTGCCTTGGCCACTGAGGTGGTTAGGCCGTGGCAATCCACACTAGCTGAATGCTAGTCAGCAGTGAAAAGGAGCAACCTGTATGAGACGCTGGACAATTATGCCGAGTGGGAAAAATAAGCCAGTCCCAAAAGTTTGCGTCCAGTGTTTCCCATTTATACAGCATCCTTGAAATAACAAAACTGCAGCGTCGTGGATCAGAGTAGTGGTTGCCAGGGGTTAGCGACGGGGGAGGAGGGGAGGTGTGGGCGTGGCCGCACAGAGGGAGAGCTTTGCCCTGGCGGGACAGTTCTGTCTTGCTGTGATGGCTACACACATGGACACATGATATAAGGTGGCACACATTGCTACACAGGCACACAAATGACAGCACCTAAAACTGGTGCAAACTAAATAAGCTCTGTGGATTGCACCAATGTCAATTTCTGGCTGTGATATCATTGTATTAATACAATAGCTACGCAAGATGTCACCACTGGGGGAAACTGGGTGAAGGATGCAGATGACCTCCTTGTTCATTTGTTTTTACAACTTCCTGTGAATGGATAATTATGGGCAGGTAACTGCAGTGGTTGGAAGGCCTGAGGTCTTTCAGCCCTGAGCCCCAGGGCCTCTGTGTACTGGTAAGAACAAAAGGAGAAGCTGAGGCCCAGAGAGGGTGGGGGTGGGAGGTCCACAGTGGCAGAGAAGCTGTAAATGACCGTCAGGGATCCAGGCAGGGTTCACCCACTGGGACCACCGCCCCTGTCCCCTGTCGGGCCCTGGAGGCAGGCGAGCATGCAGGTCTGTGCGCAGGCACGCGGGAGGGGCCCAGGTCAGGCCCCTCCATTCAGACTCAGTGTAAAGCCCTCAGGGCCAGGTGGGGCTGTATGGCAGGGACTGCAGGACTGAGGCTTGAGGGTCAGTGATGGGAACCACAGGGTGCTAGGCCTGAGAGAGCAGTCACTGCTCAGGGCAGTGGACTCAGGGGCAAGGAGGCCTGACAGGTGACGCATGGCAGGTAAGGAGGGGGTCTGAGAGCACAAGGCCTGGAGATGTCACCAGCCAGCCCTCAGCAGCAGAGAGCAGTGTCCTCAGGGCCTCAAACCAGCCCCATCCAGATCCAGAGCAAGGATGGGGGCGGGGAGGGCTGGCCTGGGTGCCTGGCAGACTGGCTGTGCCACGCCATGGGGTGGGGGCTGTCTGTCGGGCTGAGTTTAATGGGCTTTGCCGTCCCACGGCCCTGACAGCTTGCCTTCAGTTGTGGTCTCCACACCCCCCATAACTGGGGTCCCAAGCCCAGGGGAAGCCAAGCGGAGAGAGAGCTGGGCCTGACCCCAGTCCATAGCAGCCCTCTGGGCCCCTCCCTGCCCCAGGGTTCAGGTGGGGCACTGCTCATGGCACAGGACCAGCCAGGAGCCCCCTTCCCGCAGGGAGCAGGGCTCAGGACTAAGAAGTGGTGCCTGCTCGCCCCACACTGGCTCTGTGAAAGCCCCTGAGGTGGGCTCAGACAGTGCCCAGACCCTGCCTGGGGGCTTCCCGTCCAGGACCCCAGCCATCCTTCTAACACTGGATTGCTGGGTATCTATACAGCTGCATGGACTTCTCATCCCACCTCCAAGACTGGGCACAGCTACTGGTGGTCCGGGATGGCCAACAGGCCCTAGAGTCACGGGGGTGCCAAAGCTGTTGACCCGCTGTGTGACCTCAGGGAGAACACCTTCCCTCTCTGGGCTGCAGTGTTCGGGGAGCTCCAGGGCTTTGGCCTCTGAGCTTTCTGAGAATTCAAGCAACAGCGGGACAGGGGCGGCACACTGGCCCCACGTCTGTTAGTGTCTGTCGAGGGGTGAATCAGCTTCCGGCCCCGCCCCGGGACGGCACGTGACCGCAGGTGTCGGCTGCGGGGTGGGCGGGGCGACACTTAGTCTCACCGGCCGGCCTTGCCCTGCCCGGCCCCGGCCCCCCGCCGCATGTGCGCCCCGCCCGCCCGGTAAGTGCGCCCCGGAGCCCCCAATCCCGGGTCCCGCGGGCCGCCGCCGCCAGCCCGCCGCGCTTCCGGGTCCCCAGGACCCCTCCCCGAGCCCCGGCCTCCTCCGGGCAGGCCTCTCGGGTTGCAGAGCCCGGCGCCCGGGGAATTTGCGACCGCTCCCTTCCCGGAAGCCCTGGAGATGCCGGGCGCAGCGGAGCCCGCGTGCAGCCGCCGCCTCCGCTCGCGCACCCGTCCGAGGGCCCCTCAGAAGTTGCCGGGGACTCGGGAAGCCTTCTGGGTTGCGGTCCCTGTCCCCTCCGCACACCGGCGCGCCGGACCCTGGGACGTGGCCCTGTCCCGACACCCCCTGCATCCTCCCACCCCCGGCCCGGCCCTCCGGTCGCCCCGCCCCGCCCCGCCCCGCCGCCCCTGCGCCCGCGCGGCTCACCCGTCTCTCCGCAGGTCGCTCGTGGGCAGAGAGCAGGGCGCGGCGGCCCGGAGCGCGGGCCGAGCTTGCCGGATCAAGACCCGACCCTGCCGAGCGCTCCCGTCACCCACCCGCCGCCGGCAGGAGGGCGCGGGAGGTGGCACCATGGCCTTCTCCCAGGTGCAGTGCCTGGACGACAACCACGTGAACTGGCGCTCCAGCGAGTCCAAGCCCGAGTTCTTCTACAGCGAGGAGCAGCGCCTGGCGCTGGAGGCCCTGGTGGCCCGAGGCCGCGACGCCTTCTATGAGGTGCTGAAGCGGGAGAACATCCGCGACTTCCTCTCCGAGCTGGAGCTCGGGCGCATCCTGGAGACCATCGAGGTGTACGACCCGGGCTCCGAGGACCCGCGGGGCGTGGCGCCCTGCCCGGGGCCTGAGGACCTCGCGGTCGGGGACGGCGAGGAGGCCAGCGCGGCAGGAGGGGCGCCCGCTGAGGCCAAGCCGCTGCCCTCGCTGGAGTACTGGCCGCAGAAGTCGGACCGCTCCATCCCGCAGCTGGACCTGGGCTGGCCCGACACCATCGCCTACCGCGGCGTGACCCGGGCCAGCGTCTACATGCAGCCCCCGATCGACGGGCAGGCCCACATCAAGGAGGTGGTGCGCAAGATGATCGGCCAGGCCCAGAAGGTGAGGGGCGCAGCGGGAGTCGGGCCGGGGCGGCCGGTCCTCAGTATGCCCGGCCTCGGCCTCGGCTGTGGACCTCCACACGGTCCCCAGGGGTCTCTTGGCAGCTCCCCTGGCTGTCTTCTGGAAGTTTCCTCCTCCGCTTCCTGGGGTTCCTGGGTTTCTTTGCAGAGGGGTAGGGTGCCTGGGTTCTCTAGCAGGTGACAGTGGGCTGCCCCATCTCAAAGGGCCTTTGTGCCTCCCTGGGGGATGTTTTTGGTTTCCCCAGTCCTGGGGAGCAGGTTCCCCAAAAGAAGGTGCTGTGATGGTGTGGGGCGGGGAGGAATCTCTGGGCCATTCCTCACTCTCCCTTAGGGTGGCTCTGATTCACCCTGAGAAGCAGGAGGCTCTCCCACACACCTTGAGATCTCTGGTGGGGAGAGCTTTTGTTGGAGTTAGGGAGATGGGCGTGGGGATTGACAATGAGCCTAAGCCCATCTGAGGCTGACCTGGAGGTCTGAGTTCAAATCTGTTTGTTTTCTGGCTGTGCTGAGCATCTGAGAGTGAGTTGCTCACCCTCTCTGAGCCTCTGTGAATTTTGCAACGGCAGAAACTTTCCAGGTTGGGATGCATAGATAGAGGTGGTGTGGTCCTCATTGGTGGAAGTGGAGTGAGTCCAGCCAAGGGTTGTCCACCTGGATTCAATTTTGCCACTGGAAGGGACCTCAAGTGTTCTCTGGACCTTCCCTCCCTGACTCCTGCCAGGCCATGGAGAGCTCCAGCTGTGGGTGGGTGACCATTTCTTGGCTGACACACGGACACACATTCTGAGAAGGGGTGCTTGCCACTTGCAGAAACAGCCAGGCCACTGCTGGACAGCTGTGCTCATGAGCAGGTGCTCCTTCCTGCTGAGTGGAAGTCCCTTTTCATCGTTTCAAAGCTCCTCCTGGCATGACTGATACAGCCTATCTAGTGAGCTCTGTTGACAAGGATTCTGAAGGCAGGTCTGGCCGCCGGTTGTGGGATAAGGTAGTCCTGGCATGGTCTCACCTCTTCGCACGTCTTCACTGTTCCAGTCCCAGAGCAGGGCCGCTAACTGCACAAGGCCAGAATGCTGGCTTTGGGGACCACCCTGGCTGACAGACGGAGCCTGGGGCAGCACGTGGGCAGAGAAACCAGAAGTGGGTCAGGAGCTGACGAGGTGGCCCGGACTCAGGTTTCCAGGGAGGTGGAGTCCCTGCCACACCAGGGGCGGCTGAGTCAGCCAGTCACCTCGGAGCCTGGCCTGGCTCGCAGCCGCCTGCTCCCACCCCGCCGGCTCACCCCGGCAGCTCTGTGGCTTCGGGTTTCTGGCCTGCGGAGTGGAGGTGGTGAGGATGGAAGCTGCACCTTTGGCTATTGTGGAGATGGGCTATCAGGAGACGGAATGAGGAAGGAGTTGGAGGAAGAGGAGGTGGAGGAAGGGACCTTCCTAGTTTTCAGGCAGAATGACCCGCCCCACACCTGCCTCAGGGTAGGAGGGTGCTGTTGTCGCTGATGGAGATGACTCTGGTTGGAGGCCACAGCACCCGGTCCCCTGAGAGGACCTGCTGGGACCCCTTTACCCAGCCTTCACCCCCTTTTTAAAAACGGGGAAGCCGTGTCCCTGGGGGAGGGGGCTTGATTTGCTGTGCCAGGGCCCCTTCCACGCCTCTCCTCCCCATCGGCAATAGGAGGGATCGGGCGGAAGAACCAGAGGGTCTAGTCTCTTGCAGACAGGAGGACGGACAGCCCAGCCCAGGGGTGGGCACGTGTGGCTCCCTGCTGGCCTCACTCGCTCCCCCGTCTCTATGGCCACAGCTGAGACCAGCACTCCATGCAGTCCCATGGGCCCCAGAGCTTCATTTGCTTCCCACAAAAGTCCTGCAAGGTTATTGGTGTCACCTGTCTAAAGTGACAGGGCCAGGAAGAAGTCCGTCTGGGGTTTGAGCCCTGGTCTGTCTGTGTGGCACCACCATGGGTGATTTCCTGCGGCCCCCCACAGGTGGGCCCTGCCCTCTGCTTTTACACCCCTCAAGACAGGGCACTGGCTCTGAGACTGCCCCGCCCCCACCCTCAGACAGAACGCAACAGGAGGGGCCTTAGACTTGCTGGAGGCCAAGCGCCTTGTCTTACAGACAGGGACACTGAGGCATATAGCACTGTGGCGAGCCAAGCCCCTGCTCTCAGGCTCCAAGTACTTCCCTTCCATGTCCATCCTGGGACGCAGGGCCAACGGCACCTGTAGCGGCTGTAAGAGCAACACCGCTGCGTACTGAGTGCAAGGCACTTCACAATCTCCGGTAGTGTTATCTGCCCCATTTTTCAGATGTAGAAACTAAGGCCTGACTGGTTAGTCCCTGCCCAAGGTCACCTAGCTAGTTCTTGGGTGGAGGGGAGACTAGGCCTGTGCTGCCCTCCAACTCTAGGACGAGTCCCCCACCCCTTGTGCCCTGGCCCTAGCAGGACAAAGTGACAGCAGGGCCTTGGGGGGGCGGCTGATCCAGGCCACCTGCAACCCTCCGTCTCCCCTGCCCCAGCTGCGTCCCAGGCTAGCAAGGGCTGGGCTGGGACACCCTGCCCGGAGTTCTCCCGCCTTATCTCTCCTGTGAGTCACCTGTCGTCCCCTTGCTCCCACCTCCTTTTCTCACCTGGCACCAGAGTAGGAGAACCCATCCCCCACCTGTGGCCTGGCACGGGGATGCCTCTGTCCAGGCTACCTGGCCGCACACTGCCCCTTCCCAAGGGGCCTTCTGGGCGAGGGCTGCTGGCGCTGAGTCAGGGAGGCCCAGCCCGCCACCTCCTCACTTACCTGCCCTGTCTCAGCACAACAGGCAGACCCTGGGGCAGGGAAGTGACACAGCACACACACGCATGCAGGGGAGCGGCCGTGTTCCTGTCAGGACCACTGCCAGATCCACCCCCTTCCCAAAATACTGGAATGGAGCTAGCGGGCACAGTACCAGGAGCCAAGGGTGCTGGGGTCAGGTCCCTGCTCTGCCTCTGCCTGGCTGTGCGACCAGGACAAGTCCCAGCTCCTCTCTGAGCCCCGATCATACCACCTGTAAAATGGGTACAGGCCTCCAAGACTGTTGAGGGTCCCTTCAGCTGTGACCCCCTCCTGCCTGGTGATTCTAGACTCCTGGGACAGGACGCAGATGGGTCCTGGTTCTCACTGCCCTGGCACATGTCTGGAACCACGGTGGCTTGTGCCCTCTGAGCTTCGCTCCAGCCTCAGTGGGCTCCAATTCTGGTATGGAAGGTCCTCTGCCTGCCCTTCCCCCTGCCCCCGGGAGCCAGGGGTTTGTCTGGGGAAAACCTGCTGTGGGGTTCCAGCCGCATACCAGAGGCCGGGCCTGTAGGATCACGCCTGGGAGGGCCAAGCCCGGCCGTGCTCGGCTGCAGCCTCCGAGAGGGGTGAGGCTGGGCCGGGCCCGGGAGGGGGCCAGGGAGGGACAGCCGCAGCCAAGACAAGTGGCTCTTCCAGCAGATGCTGGGCACCCCAGCATGATGGCGCGGGCTGTGGGCCCAGGGTGAGGCCCTGGCGGCAGGGGCGAATCACCTTCCCCATTGTACAGTTGAGGAGATTTCGGGAGGGCGCGGTGCAGTGGCCAAGGCCAGCCTCGAACCCCAGATCTCTGCCCGCCACACCAGGGCTTGGAACAGACCCGGAGAAGTTAAGTGGAGCCCAGTTTCATGGTGCCTGACGAACCCCACATCTCGTCTGCCCAGCCCCTGCCCTCTCGCGCTGACGTCCTGGCCGCGGCTCGGCTCCAGGAGAACAAAAGCGGCTTAATGAGGCGTTCACCAAATGCCAGCTCCACGCCAGGTGCTGAGTGGGCACCTCACCTACACCGTGATCCTCACCACAGCGCCATACAGGAGGTGTTGTCGCCCTTGTTCGGATGAGGAAACCGAGGCTCGGTGGGCCTCAGAGAGGGCGAACGAGTTGCCCGAGGTCACAGAGCTGATAACTGGCGGAGCTGGGCCCAGACCCCAGGTCTGAGCGCCCCGTTCCCTGGAGAAGCAGCGTGACCGTCCTTCTCAGCCCTGCCCCTGGGTGGACACAGCGGAGCCTCACGCCTGCCCCCCGCTTGACTCAGGACAGTGAAAGCATGTCACGAGGCTCCCTGGCACGGGAACACTGGGCTCCCTGGTGAGGGACAGGTGGGGCAGCAGTCTGAGCACACCGGGACTCCAAGGACGGGGATGGTGAGCACGGCCACTGCCTGTCTCTGGCTGGGAGTTGCCGGGTCCCTTCCTGGGGACCAGGAAGGTGGGCTCTCACCGCGTGCCTCAGCTAGGCAGCTGGGACGGCCCGCAGCGCCGCCAGCTGGAGCCCCGGAGCGAGCCCAGGTTCACGCCCAGGCTGCTGCCACGGGTCGGGGCAGCTGCCTCCTGCCTGCTCTGGCAGCTCCCCGCTGGTGCCCAGGGCTGGCCGCTGCCAGGGTGGGGACCATCTGATAACATCATCCCAGGTGTTGGCTCCTGGCTTCTGCAAGGCTCCCTGTCCCACGGTGCTTGCGTCTTAATTAAGCGTTTAGGGGAGAGTCGGGAGCAGCACAGCGCAGGGACGCCCTCGCTCCTGTGGCCCGAGAGGCGGGGCCTGCCGGCATGCTCCGGCGTGGCTGGCGGGGATTGGGTTCTGCAAAGGCCCGGGTCTCCCTCGTGCAGGAGACTCGCCCTGAAGCTGAGGGTCCCGGCTTACATACCCCGCTTAGCCACTCACATGCTGGGTGACCTTGGGCCTCAGTTTCTTCATCTGTAAAATAGGGACCAGGCACTTGTCTTGAAGCAGTAGCAGAAACGAGCGCCCAGAAGTACTGAGCTGCCCTGCTAGAGAGCAGCCCGGAGGAAGCTGGGGTCTCGCCCCGCCCTGGCGCACGCTGCCCTGCCCGGGTGAGCTGCAACAGGCTCCTTCGTCCGAATGACCCCCGGGAAGGTCCCTTCCCAGGTTAAGTGCCATGTGGGGCGGTGAGAAGACAGGTGTTGGTATCATGTGGGCC